TGTTTCTCTCTCTCTCTCCCTCCCACTCTATCTGAACAAAAAATGGAAAAATGTCCTCGGGTGAGGATAAAAAATAAATAAATTAATTAATTAATTTAATTAAATAAAAAACGGTTCAGACTGACAAACCTCAGAGTAGGGGGGTGGGGGGGGTGGCTGAGATGAACCTAAGAACTTATATGCATGTATGCATAACCAATGGACATAGACAACAATGCTAGGGGGGTGAGGGTGGGGGATGGGGAGGAGGGGGTCTAGGGGGGAAAGGAGAAACATCTGTAACAAAAAGAAATTAATAAAAATTGGAGAAAAAAATAAAAAATACAATACAATACAATTATGTTTCATAGCTCTGTTTACTGAAAATGACAGAAAATAATGACCAACCCTGGTGCCCAGCTTTCAGTCCTGAAGTATCATTCCCCATTAAAAGGAACCAGGTCTGGGACAGAAAATGTGTAAGATGAGTCTGGGATATTTTGTTATAACCAGGGAACAAGGCAGTTATCAAAGACTACTAGGGCCAAAGACTACTGGAGAGCTAACTTAAAGGGGTTTTCCTCTCTTAAAACTTATATTTTTAAAAAACCTTCATCAGTCACTTTGGAAGATAGGCAACCATCTCATTATTGTGAAAACCAATCATTTATCCTACTTCTCCAGAACAAACTGTACCACAGAGCACCAACATATAGATGTGAAGAAGTTCTTCTGTATAGAAGTATTCCATCAAATAAACACGGACCGAATGTAGAATTAAGAGTATTATCATTTTGGAGCCTTAATGAAAATAATGCATCTAAGCAATGATCATCAATGGCTGCTAAAACCATCAGGTGAAAGGCTTATAGTGAATTAGATAATCAATAGAGCAGGGTGGCAACACAGAGACACCAGACCTAGTGTCTACCTACTCTGTACCTCCCAATGAGGTTCAATAGGAGGTGCCAGAATTATATATGCCAGAATTATATATGCCGGGATTGCAGGCTTGATCTCCAGTAGGGGCATGCAGGAGGCAGCCAATCGATGTTCCTCTCTCACATCAATGTTTCTATCTATCTCTCCCTTCCTCTCTAAAAAATCAGTAAAATATATTAAAAATAAATAAATAAATAAATAAATAGCACCTAAGGAATGCAATTAGCAAAATCCAGAGAGTGGGAAATTCTGCAGTTTCAATGACTCTATTCTTTCAAAGCATAAAAGGCAAGAAAAAAGAGAGGGTTGGAAGGCTATAGATTAAATATTTGGGAACTAAATTAAGACAATGGGCCCAGCTGGTATGGCTCAGTGGACTGAGCATCGTCCCATGGACTGAGAGGTCCCGGTTTAATTCCCGGCCCTGGTTTTGGGCTCGATCCCCAGTAGGGGGACGTGCAGGAGGCAGACAATTGATGTTTCTATCTCTTTCTCCCTCTCTCTCTAAAAAAGAAAAAGATCAATAAAAACATATTTAAAAATATATAAGACAATGGAGTAAAACTGTCCAAGTATCCACAAATCTAAAAATACATATGATTTGTTTTCAATTATTATATTTCAAGTCCCTAGATCAGCACAGACTTATTACATATTTTAACAAAGGAGGTGAATGGAAGTAATATAGGATTTCCAACTCATGTTTACTTATTTCTTTGATAGCACAAATTCCTCCTTCTAGAGTCTAGATTTAGGATATAGACAATTTTATACACATCACCACAAGACCATTATTTAAGGCCATTATTACTTCATCTAGATGACAAATGCTGTCTTCCACTTCTGTTTATACTGATGGGAGGAGAGTAATTTATGTAGCACAGGACTTGGGGTTTAGAATACTGCTCTCCTAGTTTTGGATCTAACTTATTTTTAAGAGGTTTCGTAAATGTGGTAGAAGAGATTCCATGATTACACCCTTGATCACGTCTAAGGACCACATGGTGCTAGACATGCTCAGCCTCGTGTTTATCTGTCCTCTGGGCATTTTACCCGTCTCCAAGCTACCTGCATAGGCTTCTACATTCTCAGACAGCAGAAATCCCACGTTAAATCTCTCCTGTACAACACTGGTAATGAAGAGGCAGCCACTCTTAGGTGGGGCAGTAGTCATTCTAAGGTCAATGAAAATGAAATGCACACATTAAAAGCTTTCCAGGCCAGGGTTCCCGCTCCCTCTCATCCCGACCCTGTTAAAGGAAGCGTAGAAGTAAAGGTGTGAGTGGATGCGAGCAGTGGACTATTCCCCCAGGTAGGGCCCTGGCACTGTGGCAGGCAGGGAGGAACATGTACGTTGGCTGAAGAGGGTGTCCTAAGGGGCGCAGAGCCCCAATCTGACCCCGTCTTCAACTGTGCGAATCCTGAGGCCCGGTAGGAGACCCTTCAAGTGCCCCTCCGCACCGCCACTGGGCGGCAACGGGTTTGTCCCTCAGACCTGGTGGCCCCTCCGCCTGGACCGGGCCCACCTCGACCTCAAGGAGGAGACAGGCGCTGGCCTGCCCAGAGGCCTCCAGGAATTTCCCGTCGTGATGCTAATCAAAGACAAAACCCTGGTTTCCCCGGCTTCCTGTTCGCAGACTGCCCGGCTGACTCTCTTCCTGGCGTCGCCCAGGCCAGACTCGTTTCCGGCCTCGATGGGAGGCGTGGCCCCTGGAATCCGAGGGAAACAGCTCGGGGAGGAGCTCGCCAGTCAAGTCTCCTCAGAGGACGGGTGTGGTCTTTTGTCACAGGTCACAGGGAAAGAGCGGTAGGAACTGCAAGGTCCCGGGAAACTCCTCCTCGAGGTCCCAGGGAATCCCAAACCTATTTGCAAGGCCCACTCAGCTCCCAACCCTGTTCCCCTGCCCCCCACCCCATTCCCTGCCCCAACCCCTCTTGCCTCCAGCTCTGAGGGCGGCACACGCCTGGACCTGGGGTAGCCCTGATCTGGCTTCCAAATCACTTGGTCCCATGGAAGCCCACTAAGCATGCGCGGCCCCGCCCTCAGGCCCTGGTCTGACCAATGGGGATCACACCACGCCCCCTGGGCCTGCCCCTGCTGCAGCACGTGACTGACAGTTTTAACGGTTCTAACGGTTTTAACTATCAGAATGTTAGTTACACACACACATCCGCAGCCCATGTACCCCTCGTGAGATGACCCTCACACCTCCACGTCCATACCCTGCTGCCCACGCACCCCACCCACCGTCCTCTTGCCAATGCAGGCCCACTCATGGGAACCTGAGGCATGCCCTCATGAGTGTGGAGTGGAATGGGTGTCTAGGGGCCAGGACGTGGCTGGGGCCTGGGTGGTCCTAGGGAGAGCTGGGTAGGGGGAGTCGCTGGGGCAGAGATCTGTGGTCGGAGGGGAACGCACAGCTGGGAGCCTGGGGGAGAGAAATTGTGCAAGGTTCCTGGCACGCTGGATGCGGGAGCAGCCTGTTGGCAGGGTGGGCCGAGGGCGGAGCGTGTAGGGCAGCAGGGGTCTATTGAACTCGGGTGGTCATCGATGGCTCTTAAGGCCATGAAGCAGGATGAGATCCCCCATGAAGGCATCTGGATGAAAACAGACTGTACTGGACACTCAAGGTCTGGAGGCCTAGATGAGGAAAAAACAGCGCAGGAGCCCGAGAAGGTGCAGTCGGGAACAAGGGAGGGACACCGGGAGAGTGAGGGGCTGCGGCAGCCACCCAGGCCATCTTCCGAAGAGGAGGGGGTCAGCTGTGCCAGATGCTCCTGATGGAGCGAGGACAATGAGGAATGAACATCATTGGTGACCTTGACAGGAACAGTTTCAGTTCATATGTTGTGTTCACAAACAATGTAGAGCATTGTTTTGCATGTCTGTATCACTTTAGAAATGGTATACTTTGTTCATCTTTCTATAACATGACTTTTTGACTCCCCCTTTTTTTTTTTTTTATCCTCACCCAAGGATATTTTTTAAATTTATCTTCAGATAGAGCAGGAGGGAGAGAGGGAAGAAGAGAGAGAGAAACATCCATGTGGGAGAGACACATCGATCGGTTGCCTCCTGCACGACCCCAACCAGGGCCGTGGACAAACTGCAACCGAGGTTCGTGCCCTTGCCCGGAATCAAATCTGGGACTCTCTGGCCTGCAGGCCGACGCTCTTAACTGCTGAGCCACACCGGCCAGAGCTTGATTTACCATTTTAAAGATTATCTCTGTGGATTCAAGTATCTGTAGCCCATTTATAGTAACTTCAGTATTTCATTGTGTGACTGTCAAACAATTTCCTCCTTGTCCTGTTGGTAAACATTCAGTCTGCTTAGTTTTTCCCCCCATACAGATGCTGCAGTGAACATTCTTATACCTGTGAATGTGAGAGGGGATATCCAGGGTAATTATACTAGAGTGGACTTTCTGGCTAATAAGGCTTGTGCCAGTAACATCAGCAGGTCTGAGTGTTTCCTGTTGAATTTTTCATTGGCACAGTTTTAGAGGCTGATTCACATCCCAGTGTTACCAGTTGGGGGGTGGGTGTGGATTATTTGCCCAAGGATAGCTTGGAATGGAACCACAATGTCAAATATTTTCATGTTTCTTCCTTTGCTCTTCTGTTATGCTCTCCTTCACGCAGGGCCTGGTAACATTCACCTGCCATGATTAGTGCTCCCAGTCACCACAAACTCCTGAGAATCTGACAGAGCCTTATTCTGATGCACTAATTTTATCCTATGAGCCACCACCCCCTTTAACATTTCTTCTGACTCCATGGAATATTTTCTAAATTTATATGCCTGGCATTTAGGTTGTGCAGTTTTAAAAATGCAGCATTTACCTCTGAATGTTCTTTAATATTTCATTGACCATGAATTCATCAGACTCCACAGTGGAGGGTCATGTGTTTCTATATATAAGGACTCTCTCAGGCTGTTAATACAGAGGGGCAGACTTCTCTCTGGAGGGAAGTAAAAACAGAGCAGGAAGCACAAAGGGGTAGCAGGCTAGATGCTGCCTCACCACTAAGCAGCATTGTGCAGTCACAATCTCCCTTTGTCACTAAGCAACAAGAAGTTGATCTCCTGAGATTCTCAGATAGCCTCAAAAAGACAAGAGGAAAGTTTGCCTTACTGTTCCTTTCCTGGAAAGATGCAAAGTGCTCTAGTAGGCTCCTGGGTAAGAGTGTGTTTTTATAGTTAATCCTGGTCCCTGGCCCTAGTGTAGTACCTGAAATTTGTATGAATCATGAAAGTAAAGTGAGAAGGGTTTCATCCAGCATCCAGGTTGGCGGAGGACCCTGAACTACCCACTCACCCTCTGCCATCCTGAGGTTACCCCTGGAGCCTACTTGGTCTTTCTAACATGATGCCCCCTTCCAGGGGTCCTGTTCTCATGCTAACCAGCTAAACTCCTAGTCCTTTAGCCACCCCATTTATTCCCGGGCCTATGCTTGATTCCCCCAAATTTCTGGAGTTTGACTGCTTTCTAGACTAGAAAGATCTTGAGGGAAAATGCTGTTTTCCTCCGTCTATATATCCCATGCCCAGCCCCGTGCCTGGAATACAACAAAGATCCAGTAAATACTGTTGAACTAAACTGAATAGAGAGCAAGGGGTGGCCCTGGCCAGTTTGACTTAGTGATTAGAGCATTGACCTGCGGTCCAGAGACAAGGGGTGTTCGGCAGATAGTAGAAGGATAGACAGTAAAGTTGGATAACCCAGCCTTCAGTGGGATGAAAAAATGATGAGCTTACCAGTTTAAGATCCCACTGTGATGGCCAAAGGCTGGCTTGGGACAGGTTCCTTCTGCTCAGCACTATGATAATGGAGGACCAGACACACCATCCTCTCCAGGGAACACTCAGGACAAGAAGGATGGGCCACAGGAGTTCCATGGCCAGAAATCCATGTCCAGAGGGTGTTTGCCTAATAACAGCACAGTATAGCTTTTTCTTAGAATCACTGATGCTCATTTCTGTCTTCTGCCAGTCCCTATCTCTGAAATTCTCTCCAGAGGTATCTGTTGCTGAAGTACTTCTTTAGAAAAGTTCATTCCTTAGGTGCTCAAATTTCAGAGTGTGCCCTTCTTGCCCCAAGAAAGCAGAGTATGTGGCAAACAGTGTTTATGACTTTGCACTGATGCAGAAGATGGATCCATTCAATCCTTGCTCTTCAGGGACCTTTGATCTATTTATTAACATTGAAGGGAGAGCCCGGCTGGTGTGGCTCAGTGGTTGAGCTCGACCTGTGCACCAAGAGGTTGCCAGTTTGATTCCCAGTCAGGACACATACCCAAGTTTTGGGTCCAGTTCTAGTGGGAGGCATGCAGGAGGTGGTCAATCGATGTTCTCTCTCATCTATGTTTCTATCTCTCCTTCTCCCTTTCTCTCCCTCTGAAAACTCAATAAAGAAAAAATTTTTTTAGAAAAATAAACAACCTTGAGGGGAGGACAGTGAAGGGAACTTCTCAGATCTCCCAGGGAAGGACCATACCACTAGACAGTGCCCCTGTTCTCAAAACTGTTCATTGCACTGGTCACCCCAACTTAGAACTTGTCTGGTCCCTTCCCTTGCTCTTAAAAGAGAATCCATAGTCCTAACCCAGTCTAGGCCCTGTCGCTCCCTGACCTCACCTCACTTCTCCCCAGATTGTTCACAGTCCTTTAGTCATAAGGCCTCTTCTTTTATTCTTCATCTCTTTCTTTTTTTAGTTTTTTTTTAAATCCTCACCGAGGATATTTTTGCATTTACCTTCAGATAGAGCAAGGGAGAAAAGGAGGAAGAGAGAGAGAGAAACATAGACGTGAGAGAGACACATCGAGTGGTTGCCACCACAGGACCCCAACCGGGGCCAGCGACAAACTGCAACCGAGGTACATGTCCTTAGCAGGAACCGAACCCAGGACTCTCTGGTCCACAGGTCAATGCTCTAACCACTGAACAAAATCAGCCAGGGCTATTCTTCATCTCTTTCATTCTCATTCCCTCTCTCTCTCTCTCTCTCTCCCTCTCTCCCTCCCTCCTCTGAACACTTGCACTTAAGTTCCCACCACATAGAAGGCTCTTCCACTGTTCCTCACATAGCTGACTCCTTTTCATGTCCAGGTTCCACCCCCATTGCCATGAAGAGCTGTCCCTGTTACCTGTCACTCTTGATCTAGTTATCAGGCTATTTCTTCCCTGACCCTGTTCACTGTGTTTGACACCTTCACAGAAGGAAGGTTCATAGGGGCCAGGATCTTTCGATCTTTTCACTGCTATCTTTCTAGCCCATGTTAGGACCTTATTAAAGAAAGAGAGATGACCTGACCGGGTGGCTCAGTTGGTTGAGTGTCATCCCAATGCACCAGGGTTGCAGATTTGATTCCCAGTCAGGGCACATACAAGAGTCAACCAATGGCCCTGGCTGGTTTGGCTCAGCGGTTAGAGCTTCGGCCTATGAACCGGAGAGTCCCAGGTTTGGTTCCCGCTAAGGGCACGTACCTTGGTTGCAGTTTGTCCCCGACCCTGGTTGGGGTCGTGTGGGTGGTGGCCACCCGATATGTCTCTCTCACATTGATGTTTCTCTCTCTTCACCCCTCCCTCCCTCCCGCTCTATCTGAAGATAAATGCAAAAAAAAAAAAAAAAAAAATCAACCAATGAATGCATAAATAAATGGAACAACAAATCGATCTCTCTCTCTCTCAAAATGTCAATAAAGTTTTAATTGTTTTAAAAAAAGAGAGGAAAAAAGAAGAGAGAAAGACAAACATGAAATTAAAAAAAATAAAAAAGTATTCAAACACAAAAAAAGCAAGACAAACTCCTTCCTTACATACATATATCCCTCCCAAATGGGCCAGCATAGCTGGGCAACTGTTTTCTTTGTTTTCTGTTTTTTTTCTTTATTGATTTTTTTTTATAGAGAGAGGGAGGAAGGGAGAGATAGAGAGATAGAAACATTAATGAGAGAGAACATCGACTGGCTATCTTCTGCATGCCCCCCCCCCCCCCGGGAATTGGGCCCACAACCTGGGCATGTGCCCTGACTGGGAATCAAACCAGTGACCTCTTGGTGCATGGGTTGAAGCTCAACCATTTAGCCGTACAGGCCGGGCTGGCCAACTATTTTTTTGTTGTTGTTATTTAATTATTTTTTATTTTATTTTATTTTTTAATCCTCACCCGAGGACACTTTTGCATCTATCCTCAGGTAGAGTGGGAGGGAGAGGGAGGGGAAGAGAGAGAGAGAGAAACATCAATGTGAGAGAGAGACATCGACTAGTTGCCACCCACACGACCCCAACTGGAGCCAGGGACAAACTGCAACTGAGGTACATGCCCTTAGCAGGAACCGAACCCGGTTCTCTCTGGTGTGTGGGCCGACGCTCTAACTGCTGAGCCAAACTGGCCAGGGCATATTTTAATTATTTTTAATTTTTTTCTTTTTTAATTTTGAGAGAGAGGGGAAGGGAGAGGAAGAGAGAGATAGAAACATCGATGAGAGAACATCGATTGGCAGTCTCCTACATGCCCCCCCCACTGGGGATCAGGCCCACAACCTGGGCATGTGCCCTGACTGGGAATCGAACTGGTGACCTCTTGGTGCATGAGTCGATGCTCAGCCACTGTGCCACACCAGCCAGGCTGGCCAACTGTTTTAATGATGAATGAGAGATACCTCTCTGCAGGCCCTTCTCCAGGGGTGTCCCCTCCACCTCAGATCCCTTCTATTTTGTCAGAAACTCCAAGAGAGGCTTCTAGCCTCTGAGGTCTAGCCTTTGGGGGCTCTGAGGTCTAAGGCTCAGAAGTGGGGTTTAGGTAGCATTCACCCTCATGCCTGCCTTATTATAGCACAGCAATGGCTTCTATGGGCACTACAGAGGCCAATTCAAGAGTGAAAGTGCTCAAGAATACCGCCTTGCAGCCAAGCCCCAGCCTCCGGCAGTGTTCCTGCAGCGAAGTCAGGTACAAGGCAGCCTTGGGAGCAGCTGGGTGGCTGGGCCAGTTTCTGCTTCTCTCAGGCCCCAAGAGCATCATCCTCAGCTCTATCACACAGCTGGACTGCACCTGGAGCCAGCCTATCCCTAGGATTTGCATGAGTCCTGGCCCTTCTTCCCTGAAATGTCAGCTCTTTCTCCTACAGACAAGGCAGAGAGGACCCCACACCAGTCTGGACTGTCTTGCTTAGTGTTCCTTCTAGGTGGAGGGAAGAATCGGGGCCCAGGTGGCATGAGCAGCTTTGGAGAGAGAGCCTCCAGAACCCAGGAAGTAAGCTTTGAGTTTTGCCGAAAACTGCCCTTAAGCTTAGATTCCTCGATGCCATGAAATTGCATGGTCTAGCCCACAGTCAGCCTGGTAGTCCAAGGGCTCAGTACTGAGTGAGGAGGAGGCTCCTCTGGTCAAGGAAGTATAGGAAGTGGCTGGGTAACCACCTGGATGCCTGGCCAAAGGGGACTGGAAACGGAGGTGGCAGAAATGGCCGAGAGTGGCTGGAAAAGGCTTCCTAAGAACAGGTGAGGGATGCAGGTCCCAGGCCTCCACTGCTTCCAGGCCTGGAGATAAGGAGGGGGCCAGGTGCATTGTCAGCTCCCAACAGGAAAAAGCCCACTCAAAATAGAACTCAGAAGGGTATACGTAGAAAGGAGTAAGTGTGGGGGCCTCAGGGGAACGTAGTCTTACAGGTTGCTAACAACCAAATGGTCAGTACACTGGGACCGAAGGAACAAAGGGAAGGCATGGCTTCTAGAGCCCAGGAGAGACTGGTGTGGAGAGGGCCACCCTGACAGGAGTGATCTCGGGTGGAGAGACACAGCCAGGTGGGGGCTGGCTTGGGAGGGTGCCAGGAAAAGAAACACCTCTTCCCTCCTTCCCTCCCTGTCCTCCCAGGGCTTTCCAGTCGCCAGGGGGAAGGCAGCCTGGTGAGAAGTGCGTTCAGATCAGACTCCTAGGCAAGAGCAGGGTGGAGGAGGATCCTGGAGGGGTACCTGGAACATGCTCTGCCCACTGCAGCTTCTTGCTCCCACACTTTAGCCAGGTCCTACTTGGTCTGCCGTCTGATTTTCCAGGAGTTGATTTCCCAAGCCAAGAGCAGGGTCCTAGAGGTTGCTATGCTGTGGAGACTGAACTTCCTTGGCGTTCTCAGATGAAAGGGCTGCCTGGCACTGCCTACTGCGCTAGGGCCACCTCCCCTTTGAGAGTGATGGCGGTCTAAGCAACCCGGGTGCGCCCTGCTGGGTGTTTATAGTAGTCCTCAGTGACGACTCTCATCCCCAAGACCCGAACATCCTCTCAGCCTGTGCCCCAAGGTCAGAGTAGGGGACATGTTTTGGTTGAAGTGAAGACTGACTACATCAAGTGTTTACTAGCATCATCAGCAGCCCCAAACAGCATGATCTGTGTGTGTTGGGCTCAGGTTGTACACATGCCAAGTCTTGTAGCTCCTTCAAGGTCTGAATCTGTTTCAATTAGCGGACTGCCCAGGGGAGGTGCATACTTTTCTTATTGGCTGAGAGATACCAGGTTTCAGCGGGCTGACTGCAGCTGTAGTTGTTAAAAACCTTTCAAAGTTGTGGTATTCACTTTCCTCTCCTTTCAACATGGCATGTGGAAATGTTATCCATGTCATTAAGATGCAAAAAAGTTATTTTTCTTCTAAACCAGATTAATTTATTTAAAGCTTTCACCTGCCTGACTGTTGGGAAATGTAATCCTAGTCCTGTCTGTTCTTAAGGTCATACAAGAGCCCTGGAGGATCATGGTTGGGCAGATCCTTCACGGTGGTGCTATGATTGCTGTGTCCCTGCCCCGCCATGCCTCAGTCAGCCAGTTTCTTCTCTCAGCTCCCGATGGCTGCAGACTGGCAGCCTCCACAAGGGCCCTGTCCCCCACATGCAAAAACTCGGCCCCCTCTCAGGAAACCTCCCCCTCCTCCAAGGCCTCAGCAGCTGGAACCCTAGCCTGAGCTCCTCCTTGGCAGAAAAGGAGCCCTGGGTGGTTTAGAAGCAAAGATGTAGGTGAGATTCTCCTCAGGGGCCAGAATACTGCCTGGATGGAGAGGAGATGACCTCACTTCTTACCAGGCTCCCACTGCTGGGAGGACAAAACTCCACTTAATGGGCGTCAATAGAGAATGCTCCTCTGTAAGAACTGTTTCCGGAGTTGGAGCTGCCTCCCACAACGGTTACCACCAGGGGCTGTGTACAATTCCACAGCTGAGGAGACAGATGGGCGAGTATTTGGGGGTCAAGTGGAACTTGCCCCAGATCCCCAGGTTTTTTTAATAGAAAATTTTTTGAGATGATTGTAGATTCATAAACAATTGTCAGAAATAATAGATTCCTTCTACACTTTGTTCAGTTTCCCCCAGTGGTAATGTTGTGTGAAGCTATAGTATAATACTACAACCAGGACATTGACATTAATGCAATTCACCTATCTCGTTCAGATTTTCCCAGTTTTACTTGTACTTATTTGTGTGTGTATATTAAGATCTAAAACTTTTTATCATCTGTGTAGGTTTGTGTAGCCACCACCACAGTCAAGATACAACCATCACAAGGGTTCCTGGTGCTGCCCTTTTATGACCACATCCACCAGCCTCCCACTCCTCCACTCCTCCCCGTCCCTAGCCTCTGGCAACCACCAATCTCTTCCATTTCTAAAAATTTGTCACTTCAAAATGTTCTATTACTCGAAGGATAGAGCATGCAACCTTTGGGGGGGGGGGTTGGTTTTTCTTGCTCAGCATAATTTCCTATAGATCCATTTGAGTTGTTTTGTGTATCAGTGGTTCATTCCTTTTCATTACTGAGTAGTAGTCTGAGTGGTATGCTTATACCAGTTTGTTTAACCCTTCACCTATTAAAAGCTATCTGGGCTGATTCCAGTTTTTGGCTCTTACAGATAAAGCTGCTATAGCCATTTGTGTTTGGGTGAACATACATTTTTATTTCTTTGAAATAAATGCCCAGAAGTGCAATTGCTGGGTCATAGAGTAGTTGTATGTTTAGTTTTTATTTTTTAACTTATCTTTATTGTTGAATGTATTATGGATGTCCTTTCTTTTTTTTCCCCATTGACCCCCACACACACCTTCCCCACACTATTGTTTGTGTCCATTGGTTATGCATATATGCACAGAAGTTCTTTGGTTTATCTCTTCCTGACCCCCCTCCCCACTTCCCTTTGAGGTTCATCAGTCTAACAGCCAATTTGTACTTCTGAATCCCTTCATCTTTTTCACCCAATCCCCCAGCGCCTGCCCATCTGGCAAGCAACAAAAAGTTCTCTGTATCTCTGAGTCTGTCTCTGTTCTGCTTGCTCAGTATGTTTAGTTTTTAAAGCAAACTGCCAAACTGTTTTCCAGAGTAGCTGTACCTTTCACTTTCCTGCCAGCATTGTGTGAGTGCTCCAGCTTCTCTGCATCCTCACCAGCATTTATCGTGGTCTCTCTTTTTTGTCATTGTAATTGATATCTCATTGTGGTTTTAATTTTCATTTCTCTGATGTTTAATGGTGGTGAACACCTTTTTGTGTGTTATTTGCCATTTGCATATCCTCTTTGGTGAGATGACTATGCCGGTACCCAATTTCTAATGGAATAATTTGCTATTTTACTGTTGAGTTGTGAGAGTTCTCTATGCACTCTAGATACTAGTCCCTTATCTGGTATGTGGTTTGCAAATATTTTCTCCCAGTTTGTAAGCTTGTCTTTTCAGCCTCTTCACATGGACTTTCACAAAGCAAAAGTTGGTGTTTTTAAAATTTTGATGCCCAATTTATCCATTTTTTATGGGTCTTTTTTTTTTTTAATGGATCAAGTCTAAGAACTCTGTCTAGCTATAGATGTTGAAGAGCTCTCCCCACCCCCTTTTTTTTCTAAAAGGGCCCTGGGTTTTGTTTGTTTGTTTGTTTTTAGAGAGAGTGGAAGGGCGAGAGAAGGAGGGGGAAAGAAAGAGAAACATTGATAGGAAAGAGACACATCGATTGGTTGCCTCCCACACACGCCTGGACCAGGGATCTAACCTGCAACCCAGGTACGTGCCCTTGATCAGTAATCAAACCTGAGACCCTTGGTCCATGGGCCGATGCTCTAACCACAAAACCACTCCGGCCCAGGGCAGGCCCTGGGTTTTTAATCCCTGTGGTGTCCGCCTGTTTTCTGAAGAATGAAAGGTAAGACCAGCTGGCTTCCCACCTTCCCGGAGCTTTCATTCTATTTGGAGAGCTGCACTGGCTGTCTAAGGCGGGAGGTCCCAAAAGAGGAACTTTTTTTTTTATCCTCACCGGAGGACATTTTTCCATTCTTTGTTCAGATAGAGTAGGAGGGGGAGAGAGAAACATTGATGTGAAAGGGACACATCGAGTGGTTGCCACCCGCACGACCCAACCAGGGCCGGGGACAAACTGCAACCGAGGTACATGCCCTTAGCAGGAAACAAACCTGGGACTCTCTAGACCACAGGCCAACGCTCTACTGCTGAGCCAAACCGGCCAGGGCCCAAAAGAAGAACTTGTTAAAGACACACACCACAGGCTCCACCCTGAAGGTCTGGTTCAGAGATCTGGGATGAAGCCAGCCCCTGCCTTTGACTTAGGAACCTGATGTCAGCCATTGCTTATATCCCAATCCAGCCAAAACTGAACTCAGCAGACCAGGCACTTAATTCAGCCAGGCACTGTCCTCAGTGATGGAGTTACAGATGTGAGCAAGACAGCCCAGCTGGTGTGGCTCAGTGGTTGAGCGTCGACCCATGCACCAAGAGGTTGCCAGTTCAATTTCCAGTCAGGGCACATGCCCAGGTTGTGGGCCAAATCCCCAGCGGGGGGCATGCAGGAGGTGGCCAGTTGATGTTCTCTCTCATTGATGTTTCTATCTTACTCTCCCTCTCTTTTCCTCTCTCTGTAAAAATCAATAAAGAAAACAATTAAAAAAAAACAAAAAACACCGAGGTGAGCAAGACAGATGACAACATCAGACAATAAGCAACATCATAATATATGGTCATATAGTATACTAGAAGGTGAAAAATGCAGACTCGTGATGGGACTGCTGGTATAGTGCTCAAGGGAGGCTTCCCAAGAGGAAGATGAGAAGGAGTCATATGAATAGGTAGGGGAAAATCTTAGGCAGAAAGAAGAACGTGCAAAGGTTGGAGGTGGGAGCTCTTGCAATAATTCAGGCAAGAGAGGAAAGTAAGCTTGGACCAGGGAAAGCTGTGGACATGCTGAGGGAGTGGTCCAGTCCTGGGCACATATTGAAGGAAGTATCAACAGGATTTCCTGACACATTGGATGTAGGGTGTGAAAGAAAAAAAAAATCAAGGGGTCGCCCTGGCCAGTTTGGCTCAGCAGTTAGAGTGTCGACCCACAGGCCAAAGAGTCACGGGTTTGATTCCAGTCAAGGGCACGTACCTTGGTTGCCATTTGGTCCCCGGCTCTGGTTAGGATCATGCGGGAGACAACCAATCGATGTGTCTCTCTCACATCGATGTTTCTCTATTTCTCCCTCTCACTCTGTCTGCTGTCTGAAAATAAAATGGAAAAATATCTTCAGGTGAGGATTAAAAAATAAAATAAAGGGATCTCCGTGGTGTTTGGCTGGATCTAGCTGCCATGACCTGACTGCAGGGGTAATGGGCTTGGGGAATGATCCAGAGCTCAATCATGAGTTTGAGATGCCCGTTAGACATGTGCAGTTGGCTACCAAGTCTGGAGTTCAGGAAAGAGCTTGAGCTAGAGGAAAAAAATTCAGTTTCCAGGTGGTATTTAGGGTCAAGAACATGGGTTGCTGATAAGGGAGTAGGTGTGGACAGAGGGGAGGAAAGAACTGAAGCCTAATCCTGGGCCATGTAGAGATAAGGGCCCATGTAAATCTCAAACCACTACCTGCCATGGCAGGATATCTTGGAAGGTCTCTCAGCCTCTCCCTCAATTGACAGCCCTAGAGGCTTCTGTTTGGGGCCTACGTGCCAGGATGAGAAGTCCCCGAAGTGAGATATTGCTTTAATTTGTATCTGCCCTCTCGGGGTGCTTGGCAGTTTAGGGTTGGTGGCTCCTGGCATCTTCCCTCCATTATGGGCCCTGAGGTAATATCTTGGGGGCAATTAAGCATTCTTTTCCTTCATTACCTTCTTTGTAACTCTTTCAAGGAGCCAGCACAGCAACACTTCTTCTCCAAGCATGACAACCGCACTTCTTTCGACAAAGTGAGTCAGAAAGAGGAAGGAGTGTGGGCAGACCCCCCACTCCCCAGCCTAGGCTGAAGTTGAGGTGGGGAGGTGGGGATAAACTAGTGTGGGGAGGGGGGGCTCCTTAAACAGACAAAGGGGTGTCTGTCTTCCTGACAACCTCTCTCCTCTGGGTAAATGGCCCATTCCCCAATCGGAGGTACCTCTGCTTTGGTTTCCTCCACCAGCTTGTCTGACCATGTGCAAATATCCTAGGGGCCACTGACTTTCTGGGGACCTCGCCCTGGAATGAAGGCAGGCCAAAAGGCTGAGGTTCAGGCTAGGGAGGCCAGGCACAAGCCAGGCCTTACCAGGCAGGCTTGGGTTTGGGAGGCACCCAAGGCAATGCATGGTGCCAAGACTGTGGGCTAAGGGCCCGTACGGTTGAGGAGGGCCCCTTCTGTCTACTGCAGGGAATCGGAAGGCGGAAAGACCTGGAGCGCCTATGGCAGCGACACACCTTCCTGCGCTGGGCACCCTGTGAACTGGAGTTCCGCCAGCAGCGGCCCCTTGAATCTTCCTACCAGGCCAATTTCCAGCCAGGCCCAGGACTCAGTGACCTCCCTCAGCGCCTTGTCCACTTTGTGAAGATCCAGCCTCCCCATGCCAGCACCACCTACCAGCAGAACTTCTGCCAGCCATCCCGGGGTGGCCATTGTGGCAGCATCAATGTGCAACCCCAGACCCCTGTCACCAACACACTGCCTAACCTCCCCGGGATCCCAAGACCCAAGCTGCTGCAGCATTATCTTCATAGCGGGGTCTCTGAGTGTCTAAACTGGTCCAGAGCATTAAACAAGAATGGCTGACACTATGGCCTGTCGGTGCTTGCAGCCCAAGAGGGCTCAGAGCCTGGAGGAGGGCACTCAGGCCCTATGCCTGGCTCCTGTGGTGCTTTTACCCATGGTGCCTGTGTGCTGGTCAGGGGAGGTGTTGCCCTGGGAGCCCTGCCAATGAGTGAGAAGGGCTTATGGCCTTCAGAAGGCTATGGGTCCAAAAGCATTACCATGGTCACAGCAGATGGGTTCTGGGACCCCAAATCCATTCTTGCAACAAACCCAACTGTGAGCCCCTTCACTCAGTGTGGCTGCAGGGAAAGCAGAGTCAATGGCCCCTATTAGGGGGCAGCAAAGCCTGGAAGAAGTGACAAGGGCTAGCAGCTTTGCTTTCCCTGCAACTGGGACAGGAGGAGACTGGACTGTCCTGGCCACAGCCGCAACTAGTCCGCCCCTCCCTATACTGTGTGCCACAGACCTGGAGAACATCCTGACCTTCTGGCGTTTTGTTGTTTTCTGAGCTCTGCTCTGGTCATCCTGTCCTGTGACTACCCACTAACATCCAGGACAATGGGGAACAGAGGTCATTCTATGTCACAAAAAGACGCGAAGGCTTAGGAGGGGCTGAGACACCAGAACACTTTGGGGACAGAGGCCAGATCTAAAAGGCTCTTCTGTACCCTTATCCTTTGGAGAACTGAGGCCCCCAAAGGAGGACTAGGGGCTGTAGGGGTAACGCAGGAGTCCACAACAGGGGCCGTACACCGGATTTTAGCAGCATTTTTACTTCCACATCTGAACTCCCTGGGTCCTCACAACAACCCTGTGAGGTAGGTAGGGCAGGAAGGTTTCAGAGATCCCCATTTACAGATGAGGATGCTGAGGCACAGAGAGGTGAAATGACTGACCCAAGGTCACACAGCCTATAGTGTAGAGAGCCCAAAGCCAACATTCCTTTGGCCCTTTGGAGGTTTCTTCACCCACTCTTCCGTTTCCTGTGTCCCCCACCTGCTCTGAACTCTCCTGGGTCCACAGGAGCCTCCAAGGCAGGCTGGCAGCTAGGATTTTTCAGGAATAGTCATTGGGGTAGGTCAAATCCAGATAGGCACTGACCCTGCAGGGCATGAGGCCAGCTCTCCCCTCCCCCCACTTCACCATTGGACAGAGGGCCCAGCAGGTTCCAGAGCAAGGGTGGAGCTAGGCATGGTCCACAAATGAATGGAGATGAGGTGGTGGAAGTGAATGTATATCCTACGCTAAAGATGAAGCCCCCCTGCCCAAGTCCCCCTGGCAGTGTTTCAAGTGACCGCTCCTGTGCCTCCCGCATCCCACGGAGCCACAGTGAGCTTCCTTAGCAGTACAAGGAGACACAGACATTTGCACTGGGCTGCCCCAGTGGACAAGGTCCCATCAGCATTTAGACCCCATCACGAAGACACAGAGCCTCCACAGCCTGGCTGGGACCCTGCGCCACACCCCCGATGACAAACAGCCGGGGCCCAGCCTGCAGACTAGAACAGGAGCAACGGGCTGTGGGTATGGCAGGCAGTGCCTCCCAGCGCCGCCGTGCAAGGCTGAAGCCCTCTGCAGAGCCCAGAGGGCATGGCTGATTTCCTGCAGGAAGGAGACAGAGGTTGTAAAGGGCACAGGCTGCAGGGGCTCCACCTCTTTTGCTCCCTGAGCCCAGAGTATGGCCTAGCAGGCATGGACTGTCAGTGCCTTGCTACTCATTGCCCCATTTATCATGTATTCATTCCTATTTCTATCTGTCCATTCATTCAGTGGTCATTTGTCCTGTTTCTGTCTCCCAGGCCCCTGCTGGTACAAAATCCAGTCAGGTGCTGAAGGATACCCCTAGATCTGGCCCATGCTGACCACACCTGGCTTGTTTACAGAGTGGGAAAGGGGAAACTCACAAAGCCCCAAGCCTGGAGAGCCTAGAGAAAGGCAGGAGGTGGTGCTCATGCTGGAGGCTACTCCTTCCTGTCTCGGGCTCCCCTCCCATCCCTAGCCCTACAGACTCACCAAGGCCCCCAATAGCCACGATGTGGCCCCCAAGGGAGCCAACCACAAAGTCAGCCCTCTTATCCCTCATGCGCAGGCCACGAGGCAGCTTGGTCCAGGACCCTGCAGGATAGAGAAGGTCAGATCTGGCCCTTGACATTGCGCCCCTCCATCCCACGGAGAGAGGGACGACAGCCCAGGACAGCCACTGCTCACCATGCTCTAGGTCGAACATCTCCACAGTGTTGACAAAGTGTGGGCGGGAGTAGAAATTGTGGGGCCCAGGCTGCTGCAGGCCACCCAGGCTAAAGACGCTGCCTTCGGCCATGGCACAGCCAGCAAAGGCCCGGCGGCTGGGTAGGCTTGGGTGCCGGGTCCAGGTACGGGCCTCCAGATCAAAGGCCTCAAAAGCAGTCACTGGGAGCTTGCCCTGGCGGCCCCCTGTCAATGGAATTGGGGCACCTGGGAAGGGAGCCTGGGGCACCTGGCAGGCTCCTCCTTCACCAGGTTGCTGAGCCTTCAGCGCTGCCCACTGCAGCCACCCATACCCAGCTGTGTGCCTACCAGAGCATGGATCACCCACCCCTCAGATTCCCAGGTACTGAGGTTTGGTTTTCCAGTTCCAGCAGGGCCACCAAAGGTCGGAGCCTCCAAACAAGCCTGGATCACCCCAACAAAGCTTCCCTTGTCCTGCCATACTGAACTAAGCCTGATTCTAGCTAACTCACAACAGTAGGGGCTTCTGGATGTTGGGACCCTTTCCCACATCCCTCAGGCCCTTACCCAGGACATAGATCTTGTTTCCATGCAGAAAAGTGGAGGCTCCATAGCAGGGTGTGGGCATAGAAGGTAGCGAAAGCCAGCAGTCCCGGCGGGGCTCGTACACCCGAACCTGGGCCTGGGGGGCTGTGTCAGGGCCCATTCCCCCCAGAGCATACACCATACCATCTGCATAGAAAAGAGTAGTTCAGACAGTATCTCAGCCTCACCAGGGCACCCCACCCTGACAGCTGTCCTGGCCAGGTCTGGGGGTGGCTGGGCACCCATGTGTTTGTGGTACCCCTCCCCAGAAGCAGACATTCTCTTGCCCGGCTGGAGTGGGGGCTGGGAGAACTAGGATTCCTGCTCTGGTCAGGGCCCCTCCAAGTGAAGAGCAAGAGGCAGCAGATCTAATTATAATCTGTCTCCGTCTCCCTGGAGACGCTATGGCAACCAAGTCTGGCATCCAAGCAGAACCAGACCTGGTCAGACCCGGAGGCCACAAGATGGGGCCTCTCCTGGGGAAAGGAGGTTGGAGGATTATTTAAGCCAGGGGTGGAGGGCATATGGGAACCTGCTCAGTATAGAGTTCAGACTGGGGAGGGATGCTGGCGACCAGCTGGGGGATTTGGGGGATTGGGAGAGGGGCTTGGGCCTGCAGGATAGGAGTGTTGGCCACAAGCCTTCTGCCCAGGAGCCCTGCCAGCACCTCTGCACCCCACCTTTTCACTAGAGTAAGTTCTTGCCATGTAACACCTTCAGGGTCAGCTGGGGCATGCCTGGGGGCCTTGAAGAGACAGGCCAGTCAGCTAGAAGCTTCCGTGGCAACTGTCCTCAAGCTAGGTTGGCCTTTGGTCCACCTCAGTCTCCCTAATGTGTGTGGAAGGGGACAATCTAAGAACTTGGGCTCTGAGCCAAGGCCCTGCTCCCCTCCCCCTCCCCCAGACTATTTATAACCATGAGAATCAATGGGCCACCCCTCCTTGTCTCTTAGAGAACAGGAATGGATGGGGCAGGGAAGTGGCTGGGTCCTCCCTTCATGCTAGGGGCCAGCCTGGGCTCTGCCTCCCACCTCACAGCTGGAAAAGGCAGTTAAGGCTTCTGCTAGCCCAGCTCAGAGCTAGGTAGGAAAGGGTACAGGAGGCAAAGCCATGTCCAAGGCACCCAGGAAAAATGTACAGTTCTTGTCCAACCTCTGAGGGTAAGGAACCAAGTGAGAAAAGAACGGAGGGTGTTGGGGCACCTGCAGGCCCTTCCTTGGGAGGCCACTCACCTCTCTCCACAGTCGCAATGCCCATGGCTGCCTGAGGGAGGGTGGCCCGACGCTCCCAGCGGCCCTCGTCAGCCAGGAAGGCCTCCACAGCAGCTACTGGGCTCTGGCCCTCATCCACACCTCCCACCACTAGCACCTGCTTGCCCAGCACCACGGCAGCCGCGCCAGCCCGAGCAGTGGGCAGGGGTGCCAGTGCCAGCCATGTATGTGAGGCCATGTCCAGCGTCTCGGCAGTGTCCAGGGGCAGTCCAGCCCGGCCACAGCCCCCCAACACTAAGAGGTGCCCATCCTGGTATGCGACTGTGCCATATACTCGGCAAGTGGGCATAGGTGGGAACACCTGCCAAGCAAAGGCCCGGCTACCTCCTGTAGCCATGGTGTTCACCTCCATTGGCAGGCCATGCTATCTGCTCAGGCTGCAGGCTTCACTGACAAAAGCCTCATCTTGACTCTACCAGGGTTACAAGGGGGTGTCTGACCAGTTCAGGGAACTTGCCTTCACCTGGAGGAGAGAGGGGAAACAAAGGATCAGGGCCACTGACCAGCTCTCAGCGTACAAATGAGCAACCTGTAGCTAAGGGCAGGTCTGGCCCCAAATCACTGATGGGAAAGGCAGGAGGAGGACCCACCCTGGCTGGCTAGCACACCACAGTGGAGGCCCCTCTGGAGTCGGAAGGAGGGCAATTCCCAGACATCCGACAACTCTCCCCTTCCCATGGGGCAGGTAGGATTCTCCTCCCACTCCCCCACCCCCACCTAAGAGCTCCCTGGTCATATCTAGGTCTAGATGGGAGGCTAGGTGACTAGGATAGGGCTCTCCACCCCAGCCACTTTCCTTCCTCTGGATAACCCTCCTTGTGCTCTGCATGGGCGGAGTCCTACTGTACCCTCCCCTTACTGGCTTCCATTGTGCCCTGGGCAACCATCAGAGTCTCCCACCTACTGCCGGGGATGACTCCAGAGTATCCTTACAACCTTACAACCCCTTTGGGAGCCATTGCGTTAATCCATTCCCACCAGCAACAGGCCAAGATCAGGGTGTTTGGGACTGGGAGGGGCGGGGCTGGATCCAGGGTTCCGCATTTTCCCTTTGAGGTCTACCTTCAGCGGTTTGCCCAAGCCAGGTCCCCAGAGGCCAGCCTCCTGGTGTCCATAATGGGGGAGGAGGAGGATTTGGGGATCCCACGAGCACAGGACTCTAGGATCCTAGAGTCCAGGGAGTTTTTCCAGCAGGAATGGGCAACTAGACTTCTGCATCCCCTCACAGCAAATCCCCACGTTCCCCAGCCTATCTTTTCCAGCAGGGGCCACACTCCTGGGATCCCTGGCGCGAGGGCCTCCCAGCCTCAAACTTCCAGCTCGTAGGAGGGCGGGTCCGGACCAGCGCGCTTGGGGTTCTACACCCGGCGCCCCAAACTTCCCCTGAGCGCAGTTCCCGCGGGACTCACCGGCCGGGGCTCCGGTGCCGCTGGGGCGCGGGGTCCGTCCGCCGTTCCGGCTCCGCTGGCTCTGGCGGGGCTCCGGCTCAGCTCAGGCGCGGGGCGGGGCTGGTCGGGGTCCGCCCCTCTTCCCCTCGCTCCCCACTCGGGAAAACCTCCCCCCATTCCCCCGCCTTAACCCTGCACCTGCCATGGCTGGAGCACGGCGCGCGGACCCATGGTCACACGCAAACGAGTGATCAGAGAGATGGACAAGTGAACACTGGGCCTTCCCAGAATTTAGGGTCCGACACTGGGCAGGGGAGAAATGAGACAGCAGTGAGTAGAACACACGTGTATGGTGGGGGGCCGTTCTGAGCGGGGCCCAGCCTGGGAGCATCTGCGGAGAGGGAGGGAGTCGGGCCTGCAGAAACCAGGGGCTTGAGGAGCAGGCGCCGCCCCCCCTTTCAGTGAACTTGGAGGAGTCCAACCGCAGGCTTCTGGGACAGCGCCCCCTGGAAACCCCTTGGGGAGTGGCCTGCACCTCTGGTGGGTGCGGGGTCTGAGTCGCCCCTTCACTTGCCACAGAGCAGGACATAGAATAGGTGCTATGGTATAGACTGAGGTTAGCAGGGGTTGGAGGGGGCAGACAGTGCTGTCCTCAGTACTGACAGGCCTTTCTACAGGCCTGAGTGGCAGGAACTCTGAGGTTGAGGGAGGCAGTGCTGAGCAGGGGATGAGCTTGAAGAGTCAGAGGCCAAGGGACCTTCCAGGCAGGTCAATGTGGCCTCATTCTACAAGGTCTGAGGTCTGGCTAATCCAGGACCCAAGTAACTTATTTTGTGACTGCCCATTTTCAGGGTCCTGGCCCTGCCTCTACCAACTCTGAGGTCAAGCAAGAGCAAGTTGATATGACAAGACTACCCACCTCAGACCCAGACCCTGGGCCATTTTCTGAGCATTCAAGAGTATTACCTAAGTCTGGGAGCTGACAGCTCATTCATACAGGTCAAGGGCCACCTATAAGAAAAGGTGCTTCCCTGGCTGGATAGTTAGTTAGTTGGTTAGAGCATTGTCTCAATATGCCAAGGTTGAAGAGGTTCCTGTGGTTGTGTGTGCTTGCTACTATCCTCTTTCACGGATAGTGTCTGTCTCACTTTCCATAGAAGCACACCTGGAGACAAAGATGCAAGTGCATACAGTTAATGAGGGAAGTGAAGCCAGGAATCACCAGCAAAGGAGTGGCAAGGAGAGGGGAAGCAGCCAATAAAACGTGTGTCAACAAGCAAGTTACCACTGTGGGCAACTGGGACGAAATCTGCTGGGAGCTCTGGGAGCCAGTGTAGAACATGGGCCTCACATTATCTCCCAGACTGTGGGCAGAACCTTGTCCATGACCAGAAAGAGTCTTCAGCCACTTTCAGAGGCTGGCAGTTAAAATTGGAGAGCCTACATGGAAATGGTGGTGCCAAGGTCAGTTACAGATCCTGCCTAGAAGGCTTCTGTCCTCCCACTCCACTTTGCCCCTGACTTGCTCATCACTTAGGGAACTGTTACCTTCCTCCGCAGGTTGTTCATACTGTTCTACAGATCCCCTCACATTTCCCACTATTCCCTTTCTAGGCCCCTTCCACTCTCTTTTTCAGCAATTAAGCACTTAAAAGTCTCCTACCTTTAGATACCTCCCAGCACCTCCAGTCTCTTCTTCCTCCCCTCCAGTCAAACTCTTGAAACCATCTGTTCTCATAGGTTCCACCACCTTGATATCTGCCACCTTATCTCTGATGCCACTGCTCCCCTAAAATTGCTCTTGCCACAGTCACCATGGAACACCATATATAGCTAAAACTTTGGGGGGTCTTTGTCTCAACTGGAATGTTGCTGGCATCTTTAAAATTTCAACCCTCGTGACTTTGGCTTCCTCCTGCGGCTGCCTTGCCTCTCTCTGAGTCTTTTATTGTCCCTGCTTCCTATTCCTCCCCAGGAAGTGCATCCTCAAAATCTGGCTCTTGCTTTTCTCCTTTGCACACAGATGCCCTCCGGGGTTGGTTCCTCCAAGGCCACTGGCCTCACTCACATCTAGTTCTTCAGCAGATCCCTTTGCTCGGGTAGATATGGGTCTAGGGTCCATCACTCAGGGCTATAAAAGATGCCAAATGGAGAGCAAGGGCCAAATGGAGAGCAACCCTGTGGTCTCTCCCAGACTCATCCCATCTAATCCCAGTTATGCTTAGAGGGTAAGCACCCACCAAAGTCCAGTTCAAGTCAGACTTTGTTCTGATGAATGCTCCCAGATAGTTCCATCTGGGACATATCAGACAGCAAGGATTAGCATCCCCTCAGTGAGCTAGGTACCTCATGACCCTTACTTCTAACCTCTATTATTCCCCTTGGTTCTAATGCCTGAAAGGGACACGGTCTGGGAATGGACCTACCTCACACCCCCTGTCCTCCATTTTGCACTTGCCTTTGGGCTGGACCTCACCAGAGATGAATCCCCTTTCTAGGACACAGCTAGGTCCCTGCTGTAACTGGAGGCTGGGCTCTGCCTCTTTATGGAAGTGGTTTCTGTTTATAAACTCTGGGCCCAACCTGCACACAGGGGGCCAACACTGCTGGCTTTAGATGAGCTATGGAAGACAACTGGGGCAGAGGTGAAGCTGGATTAGTCCTGGGAGTGAACAGCTAATCCTCATTGATGGGGCAGAGACAAGACACGCCCACAGTTGGGGACTTGGAGCACTAACTTGGGACTTCCTGATTGCAATCCCTGAAGCCCTGGTCCTTAGGATCCCACCCTTACTTTCTCTCTACCAGGAAAAAGAGCTAGAAGCACTGACCCCAAATGAACAGGAGAGTTTGCATTTCCTTGGCTACACTTCAAGGCACTGAGGACCCCACCGTTAGTGCTGAGGCCCTGGGAAGTTCAGGGGCACCAGGTGAGGCCTAGAGTAAGGTGAGTGTTTCTCTTTAAGGGTGCCCAGACACTTCTGTATAGGCAGGGAAATGTAGAGCAGCGTTAGGATCCTGGAATCAGATGGAGAGGGAGGAGGGCTACTAACCAGTCTCCAAATGAAGCATCCAGGACCCTCAAATTGGACATGCCCAGCTTTGGGCTTGTGTGTAGCACCTGTGTGCACCCCAGCCTCTCATGACACTTGCGGTGGGCTCCATTCTCCAGAAGAGAGGAGGGCCTACCGCCCATAGAGGAGGTACCAGTGACGCAAAACAACGAGGCCCCCTGCAACACTCCCAGGCATGGGGCACTCCTCTTTTACCCTCTGGCCCGACACCTGGGACAGAGGCAGGCCTAGTCAGTGACTGTGGGAGAGGTCCAGAAAGTGAAGAATGTATCTCGCCGGGAGTCCCTCCCAAATGTTGCTGCACCACCAGTTCCTTCAAAATGGGTGTCAGTCGGCCACATAATCCAGTCCTGGGTGGGCTCCAGTGCACTTCTGCAGGGCCACGTCCCAGAGCCTCTGCTCCTAGACTCCTGCACAGGCCTGGATGGGTTTAGAACGACCCCCGAGGCTACTTCCTACAGGAAGCCCTCCCAGGCACCCACCTATTCCACCCCCCAACTTTGGGGAAACGGGGTCTCGGGGGGTCAAGGGTCACCAGGGCGGGCCAGGTCCCGGAAGCGGAAGCGCAGCGCACTTCCGGCGCTCAGCGGGCGGCCATGTTGGAGCAGCGGAGGCGGCGCAGAGGTGCGTCCTGGGTCCCCGCGGCGGCGCCGGTAGGTTGGGGCCGTGGGCCTAGCCGCGCCGCGGAGGGGCTGTCAGCAAGACGTTAGGGCGGACGGGCCAGCGGACGGCTCTCTGCCGGCCCAGCTGAGACCCCCACACCCCCACCCGGTGCCCAACGACCCCACCCTTGGGCTGCGCGACCTGTCGGGCTGGTCCTACCGCCCCGCGCATCTCGCTGCCTCTGATAACCCCCGCTCCTACCCGCGGCTTGGGCCCCAGGGACTCGGATTCCCAGCTCTGACTACCCAGCCCGGGCTCCGCTTGGATGGGGCCTCTCCCGTCTCCCATTTTTCATCAACTTTCCCCGCTGGCCCCAGGGGCAAATATGAAGGGAATTCGGGAGCCGGGCTGCTCCTGTTTCTGGAGCTTCTTGGAAAGCCCAGAAGACCCCTCCCAAGGGTTCAGACCGACTTAGGCAAAAGAGCACCCACTTCACCCCTAATATCTGTGCCTGGTATCAGAACCCCTCCCTGTTCTATAGTTCAAAACCACGGGAACTACACCCACTGGAAAAAAATAAAAGAACTAAAGCCACGTGCAAGGATTGTGCTTGGAAAATGGCCTCTGGAGAGGGGAAGTGCCTGAGACACCCGAGGATCTGAGAATGTTTCCAAACAAAGAGCCCTAGGGCACTCCCTAGGGGATTCTGAAAACTTGATCTGCTTCATTAGGATGGTAGGAAGAAACTGCACAGACAGGCCTCCTGGCCCCAGGGACCTGCCTGATCCCAGCTGACCTTTTAATGCGCCATTGCAGATGGGGAACAGCTTCTAGGGCCCTCATTGCTGGGTTGGGCATTAGATATTAGTCATGATTGACAGGCTACAGCTTCAGAGAAGCCTGGGACAACTTTGGTATTTCCAGACAGCTCCATTTGGGCTGTACCAAGGTCAGCCCTCCAACCTCTAGTTAGGACAGCTCACACCTCTGCTGTCCACCTTTTTAACCATCCTACTTGGAGCCTTTGGATCCCACTGTTAGACCTTGGGCTCTTGGCCTGTCTGCTTGGCCCTCAGGCTGCATGGTTGTCTAGAGCTGTGTCATGAGTATGTGCTACTCATCTGTTGAAGGAGAGTCTGGTTGGCCTTTATGACTCTAGAGCTAGGAATTGGACCTCTAAGTGGCCTGTCTGGGAACTCCAAAAACAGAACTTCTGGTAGTCAGATTCACCCCTGGGTACCTGAATAGCAACAGTTTGAGGAACAGAGATGGGCATGGACATTGGGTGTAAGTCTGGACACTGGCCAGCATTTAAGGAGCATTCAAGGCTTGTGCTGTCCTGTTTTTTCCAACCAGATCTCCCAGACCCTGACCATAGACTCTAGTCGCACAAAGTGTGTCTTACTCTTTCTCACTTTGGAGCCACTGCACAGGCTGTTCCCCTTTTCTATTTTCATCTGGTCCTTTCTTATTCATCACTCATGTCCTAGCTAGGTATTGCCTTTTCCAAGAATCCTTTCATGACCCATTGGCGAGCTAAGTTGAGTTCTAGTGTGTACTCCCAAGAACCTTGATAGTATCTCTGTCTTGCCTTCTGTACAGAGCTCCTTGAAAACAGGTATTTATTTGTGTTCCCAGGGTTGAGTCTAATACTAGGTTTCTAGCTTCAGAAAATACAGAATTGAGTTAAAACAGGCTAGCTAAGCCCACATCTTTTTAGGGATACAATAGCAGGTTGGATGGCTCTGATGAGCTTGTGGGCATATATCCTGAAGAAGCTGCCTCTGACCCACATGGCCACCATGCCACCATGATAGGTCAGGAGAATAGCATTTTCTTCAAAGAGTGGCTCACTCTGTCCAGGCCTCTCTGTGTCCATGGATGCTATCATGGAGAGTGTAAGCCCTGGTTGACCTATCTATCTGCCCCTTTCTTATTAACTCTTTCCTCTTGCCTTGGAGGTGCCGAGTGCTGACTTGCAGATATCCAGACAGATCTGCAGTGCCTAATGCCATGAGCGTGGTGGTGCAGCATGTGGAGGAGAAAGCTGTACATTCTTGGTCGCGCATCTCCTCGGCAGGGAAGAAGGCCCTGGAGGAGGCGCTGCTTGTCTTTAACCCCATGAGCCAGGATCTCAGTGCCACAGAGGCCCAGCTTGTGGCCTTCCTGCAGGGCCTACGGGATGATGGCTTCCAGCCTACCATCCTGCGCAGTGGTGATGTCTACGGCTATAGCTCATGCACAGCCAAACCCCCAAGCCAGACAAAGCTTCAAGCTCGTGCCCCAACCCCAGCCACCACATCACCTCCAGCCAGTGCTCACCGAACTGCTATGCGGCTGCCTGCAGGCCGCGCCACACTGCTTCCCATGCCATTGTCTGGCAGGCTGGCCAAAGCATCCACACCAGCCCTTGCCAAGCATGCTACCACCAACCTGCTGCTGAGCTCCCTGAAGCAATCAAGTGCCAGCCATGCCCGGGGTACAGCAGTGGGCTTCCCCGCCCACCTCTATCCAGGTGTCTACCCTGCCATGCGGCTCTCCGTTGTCCTTGAGGCCCTGGTTCCACTCAAGACTCCCGTGCCCTGCTTGGGTGCCAAGCACAAGACACAGTCACTGCAGCTCTCACTTGCGGACTCTCCCGTGAAGCTGCGGAAAGGTCCAGCAAAGGGACTGGGGAACCCTCAGCCCAAAGTTCCCAGAAAAGCCACAAGCAAGGGCCCTAAGTGTGTGATTCGCAGAGGTCCCAGGGCCGGACCCCAACAAACTGGGCCTCAGAGCAAGATCTGCAAAGCCACTGGATTCCTCAGTGGCCCACAAATGAAAGGTGTCTCTGCCCTGAGCACCAAAATAGCCCAGGCCAAGGCAGCTCAAACACTAGCCAAAGCTGCCTGTGCCCACTCCAAGGTGGCTCAAACACAGGCCAAAGCTGCCAAGGCCCGGGCAAAAACTAAGGCAGCACAGATCAAGGCCAAGGCAGCACGTGCCAGGGCCAAGGCCAAGGCAGCACGGATCAAGGCCAAAGCCAAGGCAGCACGGGCCAGGGCCAAGGCCAAGGCTGCGCGGGCCAGGGCCAAGGCCAAGGCAGTGCGGGCCAGAGCCAAGGCAGTAGAGGCCAGGGCCAAGGCCAAAGCCAAGGCAATACAGGCCAAGGCGGCTCGGACCCAGCCCAAGGGCAGGGGCAGGCTGAAAGGGTCTGTTCAGGCCAGAACTGCAAGGAAAGGCCAGAAAAGCCACCCTGATTCTGTGGGGCAGAAGAGGAAAAGTGTTGAGGAGGCACAAGATCTTCTTCCCCAGAAGAGAACACGGCTTGGGCCCCGATCCCCTAAAGCATGTCTAGGTTCTGGAACAGCAAAACTACTGAAATTTCGGGCCATCAAAGTGGACAAGCGGTCCTCGGACGATGAGGTGCGGCAGCAGGCTCAGCGTATCCTCCGTGTGAACCTGTCCCCTGTAATACAGCTCCAGCCATTACTGCCATACTCAGTACCCTGATTTCTTCACCTAGCAATGTTCGGGGGGAACTGAGCCCAGCTGTCTGTGCTGTCAGTGGCACAGTGTACAATGCCCGTGGACTCCAAACCCTTGAGGACTCCAGGTGCCTCCAGGGCCCTGGCCGCCACCAGCCTTTCAGACTGGAGGATGTGGGGTTGGTGTGGGTGGGCAGGAGGGTTGTTCTCATGGCGCAATGCACTGTGACTTCTTACTCTTCAAGTTGTATGTCCTCTGTCCCATCATGTTTTATACCTTTCCACCTTCCAGTCTCCCTGCCTACGGTCCATGGTCTTTGTGTGTGTATGTGGCTGCAGTACGCCAGCTTGAGTATATAGGAAAAAAAGCCCCAGAAACAGCTGCTAGAGAGGATCCTGGTAGCCAAGGGCAGGTCATCAATGTGAGATGGGATAGTGTGGGAAGGGGTAGATTCCAGGCCCCTCTGGATATCCTGCCCTCTGGATATGTAAGAGGCAGATCCTGAGGGTGGGGTCAGAGCCACTCAGGTGGAACAGCTCCCCTTGGGGCTGCCTTGGTTTGTTATCCACATAGGACCCCATGCAGGAGGAAAGTAGGTGACTGTGTAGGGAACCTTGCCCCTTGCAGGATTTCAAGCCAGGGAAGGGGGTTTTGTGATACTGCTCCCCAGGGGCAATGCAGACAGCCTGGCTTTGTCTTCCAGCCTATTTTGACTGAAACCTTGGGCTTTGCCTGGGCTTGTCTGGCCTAAAGTGACTGACGTATCTCTGCCTCTCCTCCCCTTGCTCCTTTCAGAAGAGAGTGGCTAGCCCTGACTTCCCTAATTAATAAAGGAGTTGGGGTTGGGTCAGGGGTCAGAGCTCTGGTTGTAGGGCCACAGAGGCTGCCCTCACTAACCAAGGAATTTTCTCCTAGGGTGGGTGGGATACTGTGGTAGCTGAGCTAGGAGTCTCCAGACTGCCTCCATCAACATTGCTTTCTGCCTAGGTTCCACATGCTCTGACTATTCCTGAGTCCTGCCTCTTGCCTCCCAACAGAGAGGCCTGTATGTTTCAGACATTATCAGGTCTTCCTGCTTTGGAGAGGGGGCTGGGCTTTGAGCCCTGAACAAAACTAGCTCCCTGCCCATCTGCCAGTCTTTTGCTGGCTGCCCAGCCTGAAAGGCAGTGTCGGGCTGGCAGGGAGGGGGACACATTCCCCAGAGGCTCCTGGAGACATACAGCCTTTCAGGGCTGGGGGTGGGAACCTCATTTGAATGAGAATCAGATCTTTTCTGCCTCTGGATTAATCTGAACCCTGGCTCCACTAGCCCTGGCTGCAGTGAATGGCGGACCTACAGAGAAGCTCTGCGTGCTTCTTGGTGCCCCGTCCCTACCTTTCTGCATCTGGTGGTCATTATTAATATCCTGCCCCTGGGTGAGGACTCCCTTGGTTTTCCTGGCTCTCGGAACCCCCTTGCTACCAGCTGCATGGTGGCCCCACAGCACTGCATGCATCTTGCCTCTGACAGCCCTGCCTTCATCTGCCATGTGAGTATGGGGAATGCCCTGAAGGCCACACTCAGCTCCTCACAGGCGGCCGAGCTTGGGGCCCACTCTGCATCCTCTCTCTCAGGCCTGATTTCCGCTCCCACTGCCTGGGACCCCCAGCTGGGCTAGGCCCTCTCCTTTCAGTTCTCTTGCTGCTGCTGCTGTCGCTGTCGCTGTCATCAGTGGGTGAGGAGTTGGCTCTATCTGAGAGTCATCCAGAGGGAGAAGTCTTCAGGCCATCCGGTGGGGTGGGTTGGGGTGAGGTGAGGTTGGAGGGGGTGCCCCTAGGATCTCTACTCAGACCCTACTCCTCCCAGTCCAGGCTCCCAGAACAGTTACCCAGGAGGTGCCAGACACACTTGCCCCACCTGGCTGCTCAAGTGGCAGCTGCTACCCACCCACTGGCAACCTGATTGTTGGTCGTGGCCAGAGCCTTCGTGCCTCATCCACCTGTGGACTCCATGGCCCTGAGCCCTACTGCGTTGTCAGTCACCTACAGGTGGGGAGGAGGGTGAGGCCTCGACATGGTATCTCTGGGTTTTCCTGGGAGATTTGGCCCTGTGGGATTTCAGATCATTGCTGGGGGCTAGAAGGAAAGGCCTGTGCTGTGAAGTTTGGCCTAGTCCCATCTCCTTGGACACTCCCCCAGGACTCTGAAAATTGCTTCTTTTGTGACTCTCGGGATCGGGGTGGCCATGGCATTGAAAATGTGATCTCCCAGATCGGTCCTGGTGGCAACAAGACCTGGTGGCAAGCCGAGAGTGGTAAGGGTGCTGATGTGCCTGTTTGTGGGGGTCTGGGGTCTCGGGTCAGGGTCTGGTTACTCTGACCAGCCCTTGTGGTTACAGGTGTTGAGAACGTCACCATCCAGCTAGACCTAGAGGGTGCATTCTACTTTACCCACCTCATCATGACTTTCAAGGTGACCCAGTGCCCCAGCCTGAAGACTTGCTATGTGCCTCTTGTCCTGATGGCCACCAGTGATGCTTGCCCCTGGTAACCCAAGGACTCCCTCCTGTCCCCAGACATTTCGGCCAGCAGCTCTGGTCCTCGAGCGTTCCGTGGACCATGGCCACTCCTGGCACGTGTGCCGATACTTTGCCCACAACTGCTCAGGCCTCTTTCCTGGGATCCCTCCTGCCCCTGGCCACAGTGTCAATGACCTCGTCTGTGATCAGCATTACTCGGACATTGAGCCTTTCACGGAGGGCAAGGTCAGGTCCAAAGGATGGGGGTGTTGGGCTCTGGAGTGAAGCCAGAAGCTCAGGCTTGCTTCTTCCTCAGGTAATTTTCAAAGTTCTGGACCCAGCCATTCTGGTGGAGAACCCAAGCAACCCCCAGATTCAGGGTAATTCTTCTTAGAGTCAACCCTGTACCCTGCAAGTGAGGCCAACCAGGTACTGGGAGGAGGGGAGCTGCCCTGCCTGGGTGTGTGCACCAGTGAGGCAGGATGGTAGGCAAGCCAGCTCAGTCCCCCACTGTTGTTCCCCAGCTCTGCCCATCACAGTCCTTTATAATGGTCCCTGTTAGGGCCCCTGTTCCTGTCCTATCACTGTTCCCCATACCTGTGCCCACTGCATCGGGCCTGGCATGGATAGCAGTTTCCATCTGCCCCATCACTGAACTCATTTGTGGGGCCCCATTGTGGCCCCTATCACTGCTCTCCATGCCAGCCGCCAAAACTGGCCCTCATGTCTTTGCTCCTGTCTCTGTGCCTCATAACTCTCCCCTTTATGAGCCTCCATCACTGCCCCCATCATGGCCCTCCCCCTTGATTCATGTTCCTGGTCTTAGTTGGTGCCCTTTACCCATGCAGCTGCTGCTGAGTGATGCCAGGTGTCTCTGGGGGGTGATCTCTTTGTAGAGCAGAAGTCTTGTTAAAGAGCAAGAGAGACACGGTTCTAACCCAACAGGGTGGCCCAAGCCAGGCCAGGCGAGTACCACAGCAGAACAAACCCCAAACTAGCTTTTTCTCTACATTCTTCACCTGCCTTGACTTATTACCAATTACTCACCCCGGACCCCCACACTATGTCCCCGTTCCTTTGATCAGAAGAAAAGGGAAACCTGGCAAAGGAGAGACAGGAGGTAGCCTTGGCCAGGTAACTGACAAGCTGTGGAACAGAAAGGAGCCACGGACCATCCACGTGTACATTTGACAAGTGCCCCACTGTGTGTCAGGCATCTGAACAGTGCTCAGTGAGGAGTAGACAGACAAGGTGGCTGTGTTCTTGAAGCTGACATAAAAGTGAGAAGGTTGATAAAGAAGAAAACGGACACCTTATGTGGTTTGGATGATGGGCTGGGGGATGGGACACTTGACTGCTCTGGGAAGCAGGTTTCAGATACCTAGAGATGCCAGAATGGGGTGTCCAGGAAGCAGTGGGACGTAGTAGTTCTTGTCTCAGGAGTGTCAGGGCTGGAGCAGTGCAGAGATGGATTCTTACCATGAGGCTCTGGTCATCCTGAAATGTACACCCAGAAGAGCAGGGGTGGGAAGGTCCCACAGTAGGGGTGTTGGAGGAGGTGGCTGCAATGAGAGTGGAGAGACACCCCCGTTCCCCTCAATCCCAACCACCTGAGGTCTCACAATCTGTCTCCAGAGCTCCTACATGTGACTAATCTTCGTTTGAACTTCTCCAAACTGCACACACTGGGTGACAGGCCCAAGGGGAGCCTCAAAGGACACCCCTTCTACTACTATGCCCTCTATGAGCTCGTGGTCAGAGGCAGCTGCCTGTGCCATGGCCATGCCTCTGAGTGCAGGCCTGCACCTGGGGCCCCAGCCAACGCGGAAGGCATGGTGAGTGCCACGGAAGGGGCATCCTGAGGCTGGTGGGCTGGGCAAGCTGGGGGACTAGGACAGACTCGTCTTGCCTTCCTCCCTGCCAGGTGCATGGCCTTTGTGTCTGCCGCCATCATACAGCTGGTACCCACTGTGAGCGCTGTCAGGACCTGTACCAGGACCACCCGTGGCACGCAGCAGAGCCTGGGCACCCCCATGCCTGCCAGGGTAGGTGCCACACCCTACTCTGCCTGGCCTTACTGGCTATGGGTCAGCCCACTCCATAACAACCTTCCTTGTTCTGCCTCAGAATGTGAGTGTCATGGGCATGCCCGCAGCTGTCACTTTGACATGGCCCTGTATCTGGCATCTGGCAATGTGAGTGGAGGCGTGTGTGACGCATGTCAACACAACACAGCTGGGCGCTACTGTGAGCTCTGCCAGCCCTTCTTCCATCGAGACCCCCAGGAAGATCCCCGTTCCCTTCATTCCTGCAAACGTGAGCCCTCCAATCCCAATTCTGACCCCACCGATCCTTCCATTTCATGGTGACCTCTGACCTAACTCTGTCTTCACTCTGACTCCTGATCCAGCCTGTGACTGTGACCCTGTGGGTGCCCTGGAAGGGGGCTTGTGTGATGCTCACACAGATGAGACCCGTGGCCTCCTCTCTGGGCAGTGTCGCTGCAAAGTAAACGTCTGGGGCCAGCGCTGTGACTCCTGCCGGCCCGGTCACTATGGCCTGAACCTTACCCAGTCAGAAGGCTGCCAGCGTGAGTGACCCTAAGAGTGGACCCCACCCTCCATGCCATCCTAGCTCTGCCCCCAATCACTGCCCTAATAATACATGCACCCAGCTACCTCTGCAGTAGCACCCTGAGAGTCCTGTGCCTTAGCCTGCAGGTGCGACCCCCGGGGCCGGGTTCCTGGCACTCATACCTGTGATCCCTCCAGTGGGGACTGTCACTGCAAACGCTTTGTCTCTGGACGGGACTGCAGCCGTTGTCTGGTGAGTCTTGATCAGACTTCTGATTTTATCTTGGGCACTGAGATTCTAGAAGCTGACAAGTGTAAAGCTACACCCAGTGTGACTATAGACTGAGCCTTCCTGACCTGGTCACCAGGGTCAGCACCACCTGGGGGAGCTGAGGCAGCATATGCCCTCAGGCAGAAACTTGGGCCACTGAAGGAAGACCGGTGAGACGAGTTACAACAGCATTACACACTGGGTGGAAAGATGCCTCACGGCAGACGTGCTTGAAAGAGTATTCAGTCCAAAGAACAAGTCTATCCCCTCTTGCCTTTCCTCGCACATTGAAAATACTTTAACTTTTATTGTAACCCTGGCTGTGTCCTCATTTTTCTTTTCTCCTCCTCTCCATGAAGCCGTGCAGGACACCAGGGTCTCCTCTTCCTCCCTGCCACAGGCAGAGGATTATTCGAACCCTGTACTCAGCCTCCTTCCTCCCGCAACAGGCAGTTCTGTAAATGACCTCCCAGGCCCCGAGTCCTGACCCTAACCCTGTCCAGACCTCCCTGTCCTTCCTCCACTATCTCCTCTCTCTTACAGCCCGAGTTCTGGGGTCTGAGCAGTGACTCTCTAGGCTGCCGGCCCTGTGACTGTGACTTTGGGGGTGCCTACAGCAACAGGTACAAGGCAGAGCCTAGGAGTGGGGGTCAAGTGGCAGGAGTTGGGTATTGATTCTGTCCCCTCGCCATCCCCGTGCTCACTCAGGTGTTCTGCAGCAGAGGGCCTCTGTCTGTGCCGCCCCCATCTCCATGGCCGCCGCTGCCATGAACTGCAGTCTGGGTACTTCTGCGCTGCCCTTGACCAGGCCACTGCTGAAGCTGAGTTTGGCCAAATCCTCCAGCCGGCTGACCCTCGGCTGCCTGTGAGTGTCCAGGAAGGGTAGGGGCGGGAGAAAATCAAGATTGAGACCTTGGGGCTCAGGAGTCGGGGAGGGAATATTCAGAGAATCTAGCTGGAAGAGGAGGCTGGGCAGGTTAGGAAGGTGAGGAAGTCCAGGTGGGGGCTTCAGCATGGTCAGAGGTTTGGTGTCTTGGACAAAACCCGTATTCCCAGGACAGTGTGCGGGGGGAAAGGGCCAGAATATTGGAGGACATTGATATCCCACTTGCCTCCAGGGAGCCCCCAGGCCTGCTTCTCCCCACTGTGCACAAAGCCCAGGGACCTTCCCTGGTTGGCTCCGGCCCCGACTTCGGAGACAGCGTGACCCTCGATGTGTCCTCCACCCTGTCAGGCGAGCCCACTACAGCCACCAGCTGCCCAAAGTGAGGAGTCTGAGGAGCAGGGTAAAGTCTCCAGTCACTAGGGCAGTGGTTCTCAACCTTCCTAATGCTGCGACCCTTTAATCCAGTTCCTCATGTTGTGGTGACCCCAACCATAATATTATTTTCGTTGCTACTTCATAACTGTAATTTTGCTACTGTTATGAATCGCCATCAGAAATATGTTTTTCCGACGGTCTAAGGCAACTCCTGTGAAAGGGTCATTCGACCTCCATAGGGGTCATGACCCACAGCTTGAGAACCACTGAACTAGGGTCTTAGTAGGGACATGGCCCAAGCTCTGGGGATATGGGTCTCTGGGGTCTTGGGGGGAAGGGAACCTAAGTCCTGCGGGTTCTAGGTCCTGGAGTGACCTGGGCCTGGGAGTCTGTGTCTTATATTCAGGCCCCAGAGGAGCCCGTGCCCCTGCATTTGGGAGCTGGCTCCACACTGTGGACTGGCTTGGACTTTGCACGTGTGGTCGATGGGGCTGGCCTCTCTCTGCTGGCTCCCACAGTGCCTCGTGCCCTGGAATACGACATTGTCCTGCGCTATGAGACCCAGGTCAGTGGCATGGATGCCCAGCAGGTGGGTGGATGGTGTTGGGTGGTGGGTAGGGGCAGTTGTATGACTACTGACCCCTGACCCTAGGCACCTGAAGACTGGCAAGCATTAGTCAGTGTCCATGCCCAGTCTCTGCCCAGCAGTACTCGCTGTGCCCACCCGCTGCATTCAGAGCAGCTGTTCCAGGCCGCCTTGACCCATGCACGCAGGTAGGCAGGGCCCTGTGACCCCCCATACCAAGACCCTGTTATGCTGCCAACACGTTTGAAACAACACCCAGCCCTGGCCAGTTTGGCTCAGCGGTTAGAGCGTCAGCCTGCGGTACAGAGTCCTGGGTTCAGTTCATGCTAAGGGCATGTACCTCGGCTGCAGTTTGTCCCCAGCCCCAGTTGGGGTTGTGTGGGTGGCAGCCAGTTAATATGTTTCTCTCACATTGATGTTTGTCTTTCTCTCTTCCTCCCTCTCTCCTTCTCACTCTATCTGAAGATGAATGCAAAAATGTCCTCTGGTGAGGATAAAAATATAATAATAAATAAAAAATAAAAATGAGTCCGGCCGGTGTGGCTCAGTGGCTGAGCGTCGACCTATGCACCAAGAGGTCGCAGGTTCAATTCCCGGTCAAGACACATGCCCAGGTTGTGGGCCTGATCCCATGGGGGGCACGCAGGAGGCAGCCAATCGATGTTCTCTCTCATTGATGTTTCTGTGTCTCTCTCCCTCTCACTTATTCTCTCTCTAAAATCAATAAAGGAAAAAAATTTTTTTAAATAAAAAAATAAAAATGAAACAACACCTGGAGCCCTGGCTGGTTTGGCTCAGTGATTAGAGCATTGGCCCAAGGGTTCGATTTCCATCAAGGGCATGTACCTCGGTTGCGGTTTGTCCCTGGCCCTGTTTGGGGTTGTGCAGGAGGCAACCAATTCGTGTGTCTCTCTCACATCGATGTTTCTCTCCCTATCCCTCCCACTCTATCTGAAGAAAAATGGAAAAATATCCTCGGGTGAGGATTAAAAAAAGAAACAACACCCAGGCGAAGTGGAAAATTCCCAGTATGGAATATCATCATGTCATAGAACAATGAAAACAGGGACTTAATTTAAAATAGACCAGGATTTGCCCTGCCCGGTTTGGCTCAGCGGTTAGAGCATCAGCCTGCGGTCCAGAGAGACCCGGGTTCGGTTCCCGCTAAGGGCACGTACCTCGGTTGCAATTTGTCCTCGGCCCTGATTAGGTCGCAGGGTCGTGTGGGTGGCAACCACTCGATGTGTCCCTTTCATGTCTATGTTTCTCTCTCTATCTCTCTCTCTCTCTCCCTCCCACTCTATCTGAACAAAATATCAAAAAATGTCCTCGGGTGAGGATAAAAAAATAAAATAAAATAGACCAGGATTTGCCCTGACTGGTCTGGCTCAGAGGTTAGTGTGTTGGCCCACAGATCAAAGAGTCATGGGTTCAATTCCAGTCAAGGGCATGTACCTTGGTTGCAGTTTGTCTCTGGCTCTGGTTGGGGTCGTGTGGGAGGCGGCCACTTGATGTACCCCTTTCACATTGATGTTTCTCTCTTCCTCTCTTTCCCTCCCACTCCATCTGAACAAAAGTTGGAAAATGTCCTCAGGTGAGGATTAAATAAATAAATAAATAAAACAAAACAGAGCAGGATTTAAGAAGCTGGTCTTTTTCCATTGGTCGTATGATGAAATGTTGGACTCAGTGACTGCACAGTGAAAATGGGGCACCCCTGGGACCACTTGATCACAACCTCCTTATCTCACCCTTACTCCTCTCCCTGCTCTCTGCAGAGCTGTGGTTCTATCCAGGCCTTTCTGCTTCGAACCAGGAACACGCTACTCCGTGACCCTGCGGCTGTGGCGGACCAAAGGGGTGCGGAGGCCTGAGGGAGGCATCATCTTTCTGGATTCGGTGAGACCCTTAGGGACTTTACCCCACATCTGGGGGAGACACAGATTATAGCAGACAATATGGGCTGAGGGTCAGGAGTCACAGAGGCCTGGACTTGCACCTAAGGGACTGAGACAAGTGGAAAATGTAGGAAGGGGATCAGGTGGGAAAATAGGCAAGTGCCAGACTTCACAGGGCCTTGTCACCAGAAGAGCTTAATCTTTATCCTGGGATAGTGGGGAGCCGTGGAAGGGACTTGAGCAGAGAAGAGATGGGGGAGAATAGATTGTTAGGGGACACTGCTGCAGTGATTCTGAGTGAGAGATGGCAATGCCCGGACTAGATTGGAGCCATTGGAGAGGAAGGAGAAACAGATCCAAAGCGAAACAGGAAAGGGGCGGGAAGGGCTTATAAGGGCCAATGCAAGGAGGGGTAGTGGGTAGTAGATGTTAGTGAGCGAGGCTGGGCTCATTGTCCCCTGTCTGCTACCCTCCACCCTCCTACCAGATTGTGCTCCTGCCGCGGGTGAAGGAGCTGCCTGGGCTGAGATCTGTGGACCCTGGGGCCACAGGGCGCTTGCAGGAGCTCCACAAAGCAGGCTGCATGGAGGCAGCGAGGACCGGCCTCTCTAGCGCCATGCCTGAGTCCTGTGCCCGCCTCGTCTGCAGCATCTCGGCCCTGCTCCACGGGGGTGGCCTCCGTGAGTGTGTGCCCCTATCTTGAGGGGGCTGCAGGATAGGGGTTACTGGAAGCACTATGAGGTTCATCTGATCTTGCCCTTTCTCCTGCCAGCATGTGAGTGCCACCCCCAGGGTTCACTCAGTACTGAGTGTGCCCTGCTGGGTGGGCAGTGCCCCTGCCGTCCTAACATCATTGGTCGTACCTGTGACCACTGTGTGCCTGGAACATATGGCTTCGGTCCCACCGGCTGCAGTGGTGAGCCTTCAGGGTGTGGGTGTGGGGTCTGGGACCAGCATCTCCTTTCTTTGCACAGCTTGATCGCCCTGTCATTCCCCACAGAGTGCCGCTGCCACTCTGAGGGCGCCACCAGTGCCATCTGTAACCCTACGACCGGGCAGTGCACATGCCGGGCAGGCCTTGCTGGTCGCCGCTGTGACTGCTGCCTCCCTGGCTGGTGGGGCTTCCCACACTGCCAGCCCTGTGCCTGCAATGGGCATGCTGAGTTGTGCCACCCACTTACAGGCATCTGCCAGGCCTGCCACGGAGCCACGACAGGCCGGCACTGTGAGAAGTGAGTGCTACCACTGGAAGTGTTGGGTGTGAATTAGGATGAGCAGGCCAGGCCCATTCCATGTGCTACTGTCCCCAGGTGCTTGGACGGCTACTATGGAGACCCCACCCTGGGCTCAGGCCAGCAGTGCCGGCCCTGCCTCTGTCCTGGGCACCCTGCCTCTGGCTTCTATCATGGGACTTCCTGCCATGTGGACAGTGCGAGTGGACGTGTTCTTTGCTTCTGTGCACCTGGCTATGCAGGTGAGGCATGGTTGGCAGTGGCAAACCCATGGCCCTGCTCACTTGGTCAGAATCCCATCAGGTCCACAAGGCAGAGCTTTGCTAATGCCACCTGTATGTTAGGCTGCAGACTGGCCACCTCTCCTCAAGAGGTTCGCATAGAGGGGAGGAATTACAGACGTGGAACTTGTAAGCCAGGAGATGGGCCTTAATGTAGCTATTGTGTCTTCTGCCCTCCTGGCTAAACCTTGGACTTTCTGGCTGCAAATGTAGGACCCAAAGTCCCCAAGAGTATAGGAAGACACCTGAGACCATCTACACATACCCCAATCTCTCCAGGGCCCCGCTGTGACCGCTGTTCCTCTGGCTACTTTGGGAACCCTTGGCCAAGAGAAGACCCCAGAAGGAGTCCATGCCGGCCTTGCCAATGCAACAACAATATTGATCCCCGTGATCCTGCTGCTTGTGACCCCCACAGTGGGCACTGCCAGCGATGTCTGCACCACAGCCATGGCCCTGGCTGTGCCCATTGCAGGCCTGGCTTTCACGGCAGTGCCCTGCGCCCAAGGGGCTGTCGGCGTGAGTGTGTGGGTGGGGTGGGTGAGGGCATCATAAGGTGGGTGGGTGGGTTCTCTTTCCTCTGTCCCTGCCAAGTTCTTCCTCTCCCCAGGCTGCAGCTGTGACCCCCGGGGCACTGTTCCTGCAAGGTGTCCATCTGGGGCTGAAGCCTGCTTCTGCAACCCGGTCAGCGGGCAGTGCCCCTGCCGCCCTCACACACGGGGGCGGGACTGTAGCCGCTGTGCCCCCCTCTTCTGGAACCTGGGGGGGGCCTCGCGGCTGCGAGCCCTGCAGCTGCCATGCCCAGCACGCTTTGCAGCCAGTGTGTCACCCAGTGAGTGAGCCTATGTTACGCATAGCAAGGAGCTGTGGCCAGGTGTGAGCGAATGTGTTGTGCCTATGAGGGTGCAACTTATGGCTGGTGTGAGTGTGCATGTGACCACCAGCACTGGTGTGTGTGTGGCTGCAAGCAGCTGTGTGAATCTGTGCTCATGTGTGATATTAACTATGAGCTAGTGGCTGGGCCTGGGGAGAGCGGACATGAGCCTGCCTGTGCCTGAGCCCACATGCAGCCCTGCACTAGTGTGTGGGTGAACCACTGCAAGTGCATCATGGCACTCTACATGAGTGTGGTAGGGGAGACGGGGGGCTGGGGGCAGGGAAGGAGGCTGAGGAGACACAGGCAGAGGGTTAGGATTGACAGCTGGTGCAGCAGGGAGGGGTGGCCATGGGAAATGCGTGTTTCTAGGAGAGTGGTCAGCCACTAATGAGATGAGGCTGGAAGTGTGTCCTTGTGTCCTTGGGAAGGAGAGGGTGGCAGTCAGATGAAGAGGCATGGGGGTGAGACTATGGAGACAGTGGGATGTTCGACCCAGGACACAGAGGAGCAAAGGACAGCAGGTCAGGAGTTGAGAACCCAGAGGGTCTATGGGTGGCGAGGAAGGGTGGGGCTGGCCAAGGGGGTCAGGCCAGAGGAAGCAGGAAGGGAGAGGTCCTAGGCCAAGGCAGGTGTGGGTGCTGCCTGTGCCGGAGCAGGGCTGACAGGGGAAGACAGGATGCTCGGGTGTGCCCAGGTGTGCAGATACTGCCTCTGTGTACTCATGTCCTCTCCCTCTCCCCAGGAGGCTCCTGGCTCCAGCTGACTGGTCTGCACTCTCTTCCCTCAGGTCACAGGTCAATGCCCCTGCCGGGCAGGATTTGGGGGCCGCACATGCTCCCGGTGTCAGGATGGGTACTGGGGTGACCCGGAGCAGGAATGCAGAGGTGAGAGGGTCACTCGCATGACCTACCACCAGGGGCAAGGCTGCCCTGAAGGAAGCACTCTGTGGAGTAGCAGGGGACAGTGGGTTTTCCTGAGGGAGACCACAGTATGCTTATTGCTGTTTGTTCCAAAACTTTAGGAAATACTTGTGAAGACAGCTGTAGGGAAACAGTGTTGGCAAACCAGGTGGGGTGTATCTGCAGAGAGGACACATGGTGGCTCTTTCCTGACCCTGCCTGCCAGTCCTTGACCCTAGTTGACCCCTAACATGCTGTAGAGCCCCTGCATCCCTGTGCTGTTTATCTGCCCAAAGGCTGCCATGCAAACGGCCTCTCTGGCCAGGGTACATGGCAGTGCCTTGGCAGTTCTGTTCTGAGCAGTGGCTTAGGTGAGGGCTGGTGTGCACCCTCCCACTCTCACAGGGCCATCCTTCTCCCTCGGGCTGCTTCCAGGAAGCAAGGCGAAGTCCAGTGCTGCCTGCAACCTGCCCTGACCCCCTCTCCTCTACAGCTTGTTTCTGCAACCCAGAGGGCTCCATCTCGCCCAGCTGTGACCCATACACAGGTGCCTGCCTCTGCAGAGAGGGCATCTCAGGGCTGAGGTGCCAGGCATGTGCCCGTGGCTCCAGAGGTGGCTTCCCACACTGCATGTCCTGCCCTACCTGTTTCACCTCCTGGGACCAGCGCCTGACTCTGCTCCAGCTGCAGCTGGAGGCTGTGGCCCAGAAGGCGGCTGCCCTATGCCAGGGGATACCTGGCTGGGGTGCTAGGGGCCAGAATGGACACCAGCAGGTCCTGGAAGAGGTACTCCAGCAGGCACAGACACTCCTGGAATCTCCTTCACCCGCCGTGGGGACCCTGCAGCAACTTACAGAGTGGATAGCTGGACTCAGGCAAGGAGCCTGGGGTCAGTAGGGAAGAGGTCTCCAGCTAGTTTCCCAAGGTCAGGGATTCAGAGACCAGGTTGGCCTGTCTGAGTCCCGGGTCTGGGAGTCAGGTGAGTTTTCTTGAGTGAGGAATCATGGAGGAGAGTACAGCTTCAACATGCTTGTGCTCCCTCTTCCCACAGGAAGAAAATGACTGCACGGGCCCAGACACTGAGGGCCCTAGCGCAGGTTGTGGCAGAAAGTGAGCCATGGGTTAGGAGGCAGTGTGAACGTTTGGAAGAATTATCCCGGGAGTTAGACTGTTTCAAGGGCTTGGCCTGGCCCAAGAGGGCCACAGGAGTCCAAGGTGAGGCCAGATGGCAGGTGGGTGGACAACAGATGAGGGCAGGGGCTAGGCTGGGTCAGAAAGAGAGAACTGGTTGCCTTGTTTATGTATCTGGGGGACCTAGAGGCTGCCCCAGCCAGTGGAGCCCTAAGCCACCTTTCTATCCATTCCTCTCATCTTCTGCAGATGCTGAGGCCCAGGCCTCCTCAGCTGCCTTGCTTTCCCAGGAGGCCATGCTTGGGGTCCAGATCGTAGCCACACTTGGAAGACCAGACAGCATCCTGGGACAGGCCCGAGAGGCCCGGCAGTGGACAGAGCAGCTTTTATGGGGAACAGGCCAGCCTACAGGGACAGCTGTGTGGAAGCTGAAATTGAAGGGGCTGGCCAACAGGGTCCAGATGCTGCATCCACAGCTTCTGAGACTCCTAGTCAAAGCTGGAGTGGTGGGTGGAAATGAGGGTTACAGGGGGTTCGCCAAGGCGAAGGCTATGTCCTAGGGGTAACCTAGGTATAGGGCAACAGGGGAATCTGAGATGTGTATTTTGTACCTCCTATCTTGTTTGCAGGAATGTAGGGGTCAGGGCCCTGGGCTGGCCTGTGTTCCTGTACCCTGTGATGTTTCCCCTTGCCCCTGGACTCTGCCCACTGTCCGATGGGCTCTGGTTGTCTCCCGGAACACCTCCTATAGCCTGGACATAGCAATCACAGCCTTGCAGCAGCAGCAGCAACTGGTACAGAGCTATATGGGCCATGGATGGAAGTCATGGGGGAGTCATAGGGGATCACAGTTTGGCCATCGAGTTACAGGAGACACATTTCACACCTGACCCACTCCTAACAGCTGCAGCAAATCCAGGCCACAGCAAGCTCCACGGGAATCCAGGCCTGGGAGGCATGGCATCGCGCAAGGGGGCCCTGGGGTGTGGCTACCATGGCCCCTGTGCAAGCAACTGTGCATATGATCCAGCGTTTCCTTTTGGGTACATGTTTGCTTGTATATCTGTTCACAGCTGAGGGTAAGGCAGGCGGGCATTCAGGTTACTGCTGTGACACTCCTTCCGGAATGAGGAATACCCAGACGGGCCGACCAGGGGTCAGGTGTGAGCATTAGTGTGCTGGTAGATGTGGAACTGACGGCTCTAGGGAACTGACTGAGTGTTTGTCAGGTCCATGGTGTAAGTAATCCCATAGCTAGTTGCTGTCTACCTACCATTTAACAACTGATTCACAACATGTCTGAAAATGTAATAATTGTCTTTTGTAAGCCTCCGTCTAGTCATGTTAGAGGCAGGATCAGTGAGATGTTAGGGTCAGGGTCTGTTGGGTCAGGTATCAGAGTCCACATTCCAACATCCCTACAACCATTTCTACAGATGAAGGTGCAGATGCTATGAGTGTGGAGCTGGTAGCATGGCGTGGGCTGGCAGTGCCCCTCCCCCAGGGTGGGGCAGCCAGCATTGCCCTCCTGCTGGATCAGATCCAGAGTGCCCTCCCTGCACCAGACACTGGAGGCCAGGAGCTGCCCAAAGCTGAAGGTGTCCTCCATCACGCACAGCACACCAGGTGAAGGTCCAGGAGGCTGGAGGAGAGATCAGAGGGTGGGGAGGAAAGGGATGCCCTCCTGATCATCTGCATCTTTCAGGGACGGTACAGTCAGGGCCCAGGACCAAGCTCTGGATGTTCAAGGGGTGCTGGCTGAGGCAGGAACTCACATAAAGGCTGCAGAGCAAGGGCTGCAGGTGGCAAAGCAGACACTTGGAGACCTGGAGACCAGTGTACAGGAGGTGATACCTCTCAGCTCCCTGCACTTCTTGTTCAGTGGCTGCTGTGGTCCCACTGTACCCCTGAGGTCCTTGACCCACTATGATACCATGATGCTACTAAATACTCTGACCATGTGAACACTCTACTTAGTTGCTGTCCTGCTGTGACCTCCCTGTGATTCCTTGACCTTTGCCCCAGGTGGTAGGTCACCTGACCCAGATGACACTGGCCATGGATGTGACCCCAGGCCTGGGGCTTCTGTCCAGTGCAGCTGTGACTCTCAGGACCCATTTGGTCCTGAGTCAGCGGCAGGCCCAGGAGGCAGAAGAGCGTGCAGCGCATGCCATGGGCTTGGCTGGGGGCCTGGGCAAGGTGAGATGGGAACAGTGGACACTGGGGTGTCAGGGACCCCTCTGGAACAGTGTGAAGTGGGGTTTAGGCTGGGACTGGGCTATGGCGGGCTGAGGTGGGGGCTCAGTTCTAAACTCTCTGCCCTCCAGGAACCTTGGGCAGCAATGTGTTTGGGTCTAGGTGGGGTGGGGATTCAGGTCCAGTCGTGCTGCAGGAGTTGCAGGTGGCCCGGTTAGGTGTGGCGGAGTTGCAGGAGAGCACATATAGCCTGATGGCCACAGTGCAGGACGCAGGAGAGAGGGTGCAGCGAACACGAGCTGAGGCCCAGCAGCTGCTGAAGTGGGTGCAGAACAGTTGGAGCCGCCTGGAGGGTATGTGTCTGGGCCATGGTGGGATGGGTATGAGGTGGAATCAGGCCAGGTGGGAGGGTCAGAGTTAGAACAGGGAAGGTGTGGGAGGGTCAGAGCTGGGTCCAGATCAGGTCTAGATTCATGCAGGGGTCAGGACTGGGGTCAAAGTTCAGAACAGCAGGTCAAATGTATATTGGAATTATAGCTTATTTAGAGATGGGGTCAATGGTCAGGGTCATGACAGAGATGAGGACCAGACTCAGAGATTAGGGCCAGAGGTCAGAGCCTGGCTCAGAAGACTTATCCCCAGGTTTGGAGCGCCGCCTGGTGCAGAATGAGCAGACACTGGGCAAGAAGGTGGCCACCCTGTGGGCCCTGGAGAAGAGGGCAGCAGAGCTGCTCAAGCACATGCAACTGTGGGCCAATGCATATGCCACCTGCTGATTGCTGTCTATGGATGACAGAAAGAGGGCCTGGGGACTGCCCCTGGGTGACTCCGAGTGACCCATGAATCTCCTGACCTGGAGAGACCATAGACCCCACTGAATGCCCGCTGACCCAGAATGACCCTCATGTGACCCCCGTGATGTCCTCTAGTGGCTCTCTGACCTTGAAACCAGAGAGATCATGTAAAATTCCCTGAGGCCATTTAGTGCCCGCTGACCCTGACAGATCCTTATCTCTGAGTGATATAAAATTCTGAGTCACTTTAGTATCCCTGAGCCCCCCAGGTTGACTACTCGACCCCAGGGTAATGGGAAACCCCTACTCCAGATAGCTGGAATGAAGTCCAGTAGATTGACTGACCTCCTGCCCAGATTCTCCTTGGGAAGCCTAGTGATTCTCCTGAAGAACCCCAGCTTTGTTCCCTGAGCCCACAGCTCCGGGTACTCTCCACCTGGCCCCTCAGAACCAGCCCAACCTGGCCTTGCAGACCCGCTGAGCTGAGGTCCCGCCCGGGTCCCTGGAGCCTGGGTGGGGCACAAGCTCACAGGCAGCGCGCATTCCAGCCGGGCTCCAGCACTCCTGGCAAGCCAGAAGGTCCGGAGTGGATCAATAGCCGTAAGATCTGGATCCGCTCACTGCTCCTCCCGTTGGTCTGTTGTCGGCCACCCACTACCGTTTTTATATCGGGAAACTGAGACTGGACTTCTCGTGCCTACTTGCTTTTGTGACTAGGGGAGATGGAGACCCCTGGAACCATGCCTCGGGCAGCAAATGGCATTTCTCCATCTCTTCCCCTACCCCCATCTTGTCCTGTTCCTCGGCCAGGTGTCTTAAAGCTTTCTACATTCCTGCCCTCTGGCAGGTGTGACTCAGTGGAGTGGATTGAGCATCTCCCATGGGCTGAGAGAACCTGGTTTGATTCCTGGTCAGGGCACATGCCTGGGTTGCAGGCTTGATGCCCGGTAGGGGGTGTGCAGGAGGCAGCTGATTGATGTTTCTCTCTCACATCAGTGTTTCTATCACTTCCTTTCTCTCTCTTAAAAAAAAAAAAATCAATAAAACCATATTTTAAAAAACGTTTCTACATTCCTGAATAGGGGAGCTTGACACTCCCGTGTGTGCCCATGTGTGCCTTCCCACTCTACTGATGCTGGAGTCCTGGATCTGAACGCCTAGTTGCTGATGACTTCCACAGCACCCACGACCCTGTGGACAAAAGGCTAGGTTCCATGGGCCATTTGACGTTTCCAAGATCAGACTCCTAGCCTTTGCTCATGCCATGGTGCACCCGCTAACTATGGTGGCTTAAAGCCCCAAACTCCCAACCTTCCTCTTGCACTGCAGAGGCCTGGGCATCAGGGCACAATAAAAATTTGCGGCTGAGCTGACCTGGGTCTGGTTTCTAGAGTGAGACTATTTTTCAGAGGGGGAGGGGGACCTCTGCACGGCATTGCGCTCCTGCCCATCATCCACTCCATGCTTTCCTTCCTGCCGTGGTTCCCAACTTTGCTCAAAGTCGCCAGACTCCCAAGCAAGTGGAGGGACCGCCGGACTGAGGACTGAGTACTGAGTGAAGACTCAGCCAAGGACCCACACGGACAGGGTCAGCAAGGGACCACAAGGGAGGGTACCGGCAGGCGTGTCCCCCAGACCTCTCATCCCTATTCCTCTCCTCTTCAGGATGGAGTGGGCCTCGGGGAAACCAGGGAGGGACCTATGGGGACAGCCTAGGCCCTGGGAGCTTCATATGGGCCTGCTGCTGAGTGGTGAGAGGGCCTCATGAGGGCCTGGGGGTTTCGGGAGGTGATGGTGGGTCCTGTGGTAGACAGCCCTGGGGCCACCGGGTGGGGAGCACAGTGGAACCGGCTGACCCACTGTTCCCAGTGCTGGCCACCTCCCTGGCTCAGGCCCCAGCCCCGGATGTGCCAGGCTGTTCTCGGGGAAGCTGCTACCCTGCCACCGGTGACCTGCTGGTGGGCCGAGGTGACAGACTGACTGCCTCATCCACCTGTGGCTTGCGTGGCCCCCAGCCCTACTGCATCGTCAGTCACCTGCAGGTGCTGCTGGGGTGGGGTGGGAGGCCAAGTCAGTGTGGGGCTGGCACTGGCTGAGGTCCTGACCCTGACCCTGACCCTGACCCAACCCAGGATGAGAAGAAGTGCTTCCTGTGTGACTCCCGGCACCCCTACTCTGCTAGAGACAACCCCAACAGCCATCGCATCCAGAATGTAGTTACCAGCTTTGCACCACAGCGCCGGGCAGCTTGGTGGCAGTCAGAGAATGGTGAGGCCATGAATGGGGCATGGGGTGAGCAGGGCTGCCCACCAATAGCCTTAGTCCCTGACCTCCGACTCCTGCCCCAGGTGTCCCTGTGGTCACCATCCAGCTGGACTTGGAGGCCGAGTTCCATTTCACGCACCTCATTATGACCTTCAAGGTGCCGACATGTCTGGGAGCCTGCTTGAATCCCCCTGCTTGGCTCCTCATTGCCCCTGAACAGAGTCCCAGCTCCTCAGCCCAGCCCCCCTGAACTCTCATGCTGTGCTCTGGTTGTGTGGGAGGCTCCTTCATCTCCCATACCTTCCACTGCCTTCTGCTGCTGCCTCCCCGGGCCCCATGACCCCTGATCCGACCATCGAGAGGTGGTTACCCTCCCTGAGCATTGCTTAGCTTCCACTGGTCTCCCCACCTGTCTGTGAGCTGCTTGAGGGCAGGCCCCAGCTGGGCAGAGCTCCTGATGGGCCTGGGCTGGACTGGGGTCTTGGTGCCCTCTGATCAGCCATGCCTCCTGACCCCACCCAGACATTTCGCCCTGCCGCCATGCTGGTGGAGCGCTCAGCAGATTTTGGACGAACCTGGCATGTGTACCGATATTTCTCCTATGACTGTGCGGCTGACTTCCCAGGAGTCCCCCTGGCCCCACCACGGCACTGGGATGACGTAGTCTGTGAATCACGCTACTCGGAGATTGAGCCGTCCACCGAAGGCGAGGTGCGGTCTGGCATCGGGCTTGGTTCAGGAAGTGGGGATGATGGGCCTGCGGGCAGGGTCCAGCATCTCTAATGACTCCATGCCCCTCCAGGTCATCTATCGTGTGCTGGACCCTGCCATCCCTATCCCAGACCCCTATAGCCCACGGATCCAGAGTGAGTGTTCCACCCTTTAGGCCTGGCGAAGTCCCAGTGTCTGGCTGGTGCCTATTTGGGGCCTCGGTAGCTATTTTGGGTGCATCCTAGGGCAGATGCCAAGTCCAATTTAGCTCATATAGTAGTAGACAGGAGGTCTTCCAAGGTGACCTTGGCAGCTGCTGCCCCTGGGTGAGTCTGGGGCAGCAAAAACCTGCCTGGCCAGCTGGCCCCCAGCCTCTCCCCTCCACTTAGATCTGCTGAAGATCACCAACCTACGAGTGAACCTGACACGGCTACACACACTGGGGGACAACCTGCTTGATCCACGGCGGGAGATCCGAGAGAAGTACTATTATGCCCTCTACGAGCTGGTTGTGCGTGGCAACTGCTTCTGCTACGGACATGCTTCACAGTGTGCCCCCGCCCCAGGGGCACAAACCCACACTGAGGGCATGGTGAGGGGCTTCAGATGGCTGGAGTAGGGCTGGGAATGAGGGCAGGTGCAAACATGACTGGACAGTGCTGACCACATGCCTGGCCACCCTGCTAGGTTCATGGAGCCTGCATCTGCAAACACAATACTCGTGGCCTCAACTGTGAGCAGTGTCAGGATTTCTATCATGATCTGCCCTGGCATCCAGCCGAGGATGGCCACAGTCATGCCTGCAGGAGTGAGTGAATCCCTGGCCCGCATAGCCCCAGAACTCTGCAGCCTGGCTGTGCCCCGGGTAGAACCAAGGTCTGAATGGCCAAGCCCTGACACCCAGGCTGTATCCAAAGGGTACCCTGACTTTGATGTCCCTCAGGACTCCCTCAACTCTCCTTGACAATCTGCTCTGGATAGGGACCCAGTATAGTGCTGACGCCTTAAAGTTCCTGAGCCCCCACT